AACCTTGTGTTGACCGACTACAGTAGTCTCCCCTACAAGACTTGACAAACCACAGTAAATCTTGTGTTGACCGACTACAGTAGTCTCCCCTACAAGACTTGACATACCACAGTAAACCTTGTGTTGACCGACTACAGTAGTCTCCCCTACAAGACTTGACAAACCACAGTAAATCTTGTGTTGACCGACTACAGTAGTCTCCCCTACAAGACTTGACATACCACAGTAAATCTTGTGTTGGCCGACTACAGTAGTCTCCCCTACAAGACTTGACAAACCACAGTAAATCTTGACACCCCATTCATCATTGATCGGTCTGATCAAATAACTGTTTGACCATTTTAAATTCTACAACCCTCCAGCAGCTTAATTTACTTTGTTATACTTCAAGATTCTTCCACCCACCTGTATGTGACAACACCCACACGTACGACATCGATGAAAACAAATGTCAACACCCACACGTATGACATCGATGAAAACAAATGTCAACACCCACACGTATGACATCGATGAAAACAAATGTCAACACCCACACGTATGACATCGATGAAAACAAATGTCAACACCCACACGTATGACATCGATGAAAACAAATGTCAACACCCACACGTATGACATCGATGAAAACAAATGTCAACACCCACACGTATGACATCGATGAAAACAAATGTCAACACCCACACGTATGACATCGATGAAAACAAATGTCAACACCCACACGTATGACATCGATGAAAACAAATGTCAACACCCACACGTATGACATCGATGAAAACAAATGTCAACACCCACACGTATGACATCGATGAAAACAAATGTCAACACCAACACGAGGGACTGATGGCTTTTCTTCATGATGTTTATTCAAATGATTGTTCAGAAACAGTAGAGCAAAATAAATACACGGACATTGTGTGTCGATAGATGTTTTATACAATTTGTACAGCAGGAACATACAAACAACTGGCGCAAGACAAGCACAGTACGAGCAGAGAAGCCATCCCACCAATCACAGCGTTAACTGACCTCTGGTCACCACGTGTCTGCTGGCTAGCTTGCTGAGGGGGACGAGACCGGGGGGAGGGGACATCTGTACAACTCAAGCTCAGGAATAAAGTAGTTAAAACACTAGAGTAAAAGACTATCACATGCCTTATGTACACACTAACAGCCGTCTGGTGGGACAGCCGACAGTCCAACACACCTGTAAGATCTACTTTCTTGCTCAATACAACTAGCCAGGAACATGGACTTTTAAAACAATTTTAAACTCTTTTTTTAAATGCAACTTCAGACGTTAAAAAGTGACCTAAAACTTGAAATGTATGGGTGACTTTAAGACTTTTGATATATGGTGAGTTAAAAAAAATGTAATTATTATTTTAAAAATCTGATCAGACATCCAAAATATGCCCATACACTGTCATTGCTGTCTGGATGAACTATACATCATGGCATCAATGTGATGTCATGATGTACTGTAGACCACAACATCAATGAGGTCAGGATGAACTAGACATCACTAACCCAATAAGAATTGAGAACAACACTACAAAATGCCCTCTAGTTGACCATGAGATGAACAAGTGATTATATGTTACATGCTTAGAATATGTGGATAAAACTGGATAACATTTGCAATGAGAGCTGAGAAAAAAACCATCAAATGATTGAGTCAATAACATGCACTGTGTTACAAAATACTTGTTCTCTGGTCATATCATTGAATATCTGTGTTCACCTAGCCCCAGTACAAGAGTTGCCACTAGGGTCAGGAGAAACAGTGGGGAGAAAATATAATGTCACGTTGAGCACAAGGACTTGGGAGTGAGCATTTCTCTCAGTACAATACAAATCTAATAGGATAAACATTTGTGTCACAGAGGCTTTAGATAGAGGAATAGGGTCAGGTCATACATAATATCTCTGATGAACACAGATGTTGTCTCATACTGCATTCCAAACAGGCCAACTGTTAACTTAAAGTACACACAGGCTAAATGTTAACTGTATGGTCCAGACAGGCTAAATGTAAATGGTCAGGTCTAGACAGGCTAAATGTTAACTGTAAGGTCTAGACAGGCTAACTGTAAATGGTCAGGTCTAGACAGGCTAAATGTTAACTGTAAAGTCTAGACAGGCAAAATGTTAACTGTAAGGTCTAGACAGGCTAAGTTAAATGTATGGTCAAGACAGGCTAACTGTAAATGGTCAGGTCTAGACAGGCTAAATGTTAACTGTAAAGTCTAGACAGGCTAAATGTTAACTGTAAGGTCTAGACAAGTAGGCTAATGGTAAACAATCTGGTGTAAACTAGTGTCAAGTGTAACCAAACTACAAGTGACCAGTACTAGCCTACCACCAACTGATTATCCAGAGAAAACCAGTACTACCTTAAAACACCTACCCAGACCATTTCCCCATATCTGACACAACAACATAGCAAGTCCCAATGCCTGAAGCAGCAGCCACACTAATTGTGTCAGTACATAACCAAACTTTGGCACAATCTGACCATGTCAAACATCATGAGAGTAAACATTCAACAACTACTGAGGGCTTGCCATTGTAAACAAATGTTTTCATGTGAGAAATGTAAGTTCTAAATGTAATAAAAAAATTGGTTTCTTCTTGTTGCATGCCACACTACCATGCACACAACCAGCCCAGTAAATAATCATCTCTGATAGATATAAATAAAACCTTGTATACAATGCTGCTGCTCTCAAGCTAATATGAAAAACTATTTGAATAAAGAAACAATAATGTGATGGTGGATGTCACATGACAACATGTTTTAATACAGAACCATCTTTGTAGCAGGGGCGGGGGGAAGGCTCCAGTTGTAAGATATACAAGGTACCAGATATAAGAGCTCTGGCTGGCCAGGCCATCTCAGGCCCTTTAGTCATAAGATGGCCTTCTGAGGCCCTCTAGTCACAAGATGGCCATCTCTGGCTGGCCAGGCCATCTCAGGCCCTCTAGTCATAAGATGGCCTTCTGAGGCCCTCTAGTCACAAGATGGCCATCTATGGCAGGCCAGGCGATCTCTAGCCCTCTAGTCACAAGATGGCCATCTATGGCAGGCCAGGCCATCTCTAGCCCTCTAAGTCACAAGATGGCCATCTATGGCAGGCCAGGCGATCTCTAGCCCTCTAAGTCACAAGATGGCCATCTATGGCAGGCCAGGCGATCTCTAGCCCTCTAAGTCACAAGTTGGCCATCTATGGCAGGCCAGGCGATCTCTAGCCCTCTAGTCACAAGATGGCCATCTATGGCAGGCCAGGCTATCTCTAGCCCTCTAAGTCACAAGATGGCCATCTATGGCAGGCCAGGCCATCTCTAGCCCTCTAAGTCACAAGATGGCCATCTATGGCAGGCCAGGCCATCTCTAGCCCTCTAAGTCACAAGATGGCCATCTATGGCAGGCCAGGCCATCTCTAGCCCTCTAAGTCACAAGATGGCCAACTCCGGCCCTCTAGTCACAAGATGGCCATGTTACAAGCACCTGTCCATTTGATGACTAAAACTTTGTTATCACACATGCCAGGCAAGAGGCTTCAAGAGGGGATTAAAACAAACAGCAACAGGAGAAAGCTACATCAAAACTGGCCAGTCTTGGGTTCTAGCTGAGCTTGTCAGTGGGAACCAAGTCAACAAAGTCATACTGGGGTTATGACTTGCTACAAGTCAACATAGGTGAGTGGACCAACACAAGTCAACAAACAACCAGCATGAACAGAGAGACATGCCAGTGTCTGTCTGCTATGTGGTTTCATTGCTATGCACTAACATCTCATTCATAAAATCTCTTCACCCAAACAAAATGTTATTTCAATAAAATATTACCTAAAAATCTCAATAAAATCTATAAAAAACAACCGTGCACAAATTATTTCAGCTAATTTTAACATTGGTCAAAGTGAAAATATATATGGATAGATATCAATTTTTAGCAAGGTATATAAACATAGAGAAATGACTAGCAACAAGTTATATCACTTTCAAATAATAATAAACTCTATCAAGTGCATGTACATTCTATTTACATCATACTCTCTGTTCTCTATAGGACTACTCTACTTGGATTCTTTATAAGAATTAAAAGAAAAATGGTGTCATTAGAGCCCCAACAACATAAACTTGCTCAAATAAATACAAAGTAAATAATCATCTACTTGCTTTAAAAAAAAAACTCTTAATTAAATCACAATTAATTTTATGTCAACATATATGTGAAACCTTTTTTCAATTGGCTGAGAGGAACAATTTGTCACATGACTTGTGTAAATAAACATAATTCAACCAATCAGCAAAGACTGACTACAGTAATAACAAGATAGGCTTGAGGCACTCTGTACAAAGGTAATTATATACACAACATAAGCCACGGTCAGACTGAAAGCAGAAGGGACATACTCTCCAACAAGCTCTTCAAGGCTCTTAGGTGGGCAAGTCTCACACCAAGTGGTGCTCATTTACAGTGCTGTGGGGGACATGTCTCATTTACAGTGCTGTGGGGGACATGTCTCATTTACAGAGCTGTGGGGGACATGTCTCATTTACAGAGCTGTGGGGGACATGTCTCATTTACAGAGCTGTGGGGGACATGTCTCATTTACAGTGCTGTGGGGGACATGTCTCATTTACAGAGCTGTGGGGGACATGTCTCATTTACAGAGCTGTGGGGGACATGTCTCATTTACAGTGCTGTGGGGGACATGTCTCATTTACAGAGCTGTGGGGGACATGTCTCATTTACAGAGCTGTGGGGGACATGTCTCATTTACAGAGCTGTGGGGGACATGTCTCATTTACAGAGCTGTGGGGGACATGTCTCATTTACAGAGCTGTGGGGGACATGTCTCATTTACAGTGCTGTGGGGGACATGTCTCATTTACAGAGCTGTGGGGGACATGTCTCATTTACAGTGCTGTGGGGGACATGTCTCATTTACAGTGCTGTGGGGGACATGTCTCATTTACAGTGCTGTGGGGGACATGTCTCATTTACAGTGCTGTGGGGGACATGTCTCATTTACAGTGCTGTGGGGGACATGTCTCATTTACAGTGCTGTGGGGGACATGTCTCATTTACAGTGCTGTGGGGGACATGTCTCATTTACAGTGCTGTGGGGGACATGTCTCATTTACAGTGCTGTGGGGGACATGTCTCATTTACAGTGCTGTGGGGGACATGTCTCATTTACAGTGCTGTGGGGGACATGTCTCATTTACAGTGCTGTGGGGGACATGTCTCATTTACAGTGCTGTGGGGGACATGTCTCATTTACAGTGCTGTGGGGGACATGTCTCATTTACAGTGCTGTGGGGGACATGTCTCATTTACAGTGCTGTGGGGGACATGTCTCATTTACAGTGCTGTGGGGGACATGTCTCATTTACAGTGCTGTGGGGGACATGTCTCATATACAGTACTGTTGGGGGAGGGGGCGTCTTATTTACAGTGCTTAGGTGGGGGGGTGTCTAATTTACAGTGCTGTGGGAAACATGCCTGACTGTAAATTTCACTACAACTGAACCTATATCATTGCACTAGTCATGTTACAGCAGTAGAGAACTGAACCTACAACACACAGCACTGCACCAGTCATGTTACAGCAGTAGAGAACTGAACATACAACACACAGCACTGCACCAGTCATGTTACAGCAGTAGAGAACTGAACATACAACACACAGCACTGCACTAGTCATGTTACAGCAGTAGAGAACTGAACCTACCTAAGGCAGCAGGAGGTTGTTGAAGAGTAAACCAAGATGGCCATTTAAGACTACACAACTCATCTAGTGGCGCCATATCAAAGCTAACAGTAATCTATACAAGAATCACAATCAACCTGCACTATAATTCCCTATGTATGTTACAGGCATTGGAAGAATAAGTTAAACTGTTCAATTTGCCAATACTAAGATCTATATCGCATTTAAGAAATACTATTTTAACTTAAATAGAATGTATATTGCAGCTGAACTCTGAGAAGATTAGGATCAACAGATAAGTATTGTGTCAGGTGCATATTGTTTAACCACCGTAGCTCTAGAATTCCAATTAGAGAATGGATAAAATTTTATGAAATGTATCAAAATGTCTAATACTGTCTCTACTGACCAGAGAGTGGACAGATCAATCTATACAGGTTGCCAAGCATTGGTCTGGAATATCATGGAATCACACCAGACTTGATCCAGTGTGAACAATACAGCAGTTTCTTAAATCTGTCTTGTGCTCAATTCATGTGTTGTCATGTCAAGCTGACAGGTAAAGGTTAGAGTTAGCTGGTTCTTCAGGCTGGTTTTTCTGTATTGTTTAGTAAGTATTTTCATGTCCAGCCAACACGTAGAGATTAGAGTTGGAAGTTGGGTCATTGGTGGGGCGGCTCTCAAGGCAGATCACTCTGTGGAGTAAACAAGATCATTCCTTCAGCTCACAGATACAAACAGTAGCTTTCACTTGTGACCGTATAAAAGGCATTACATTCTTTGTGTGCACCCCCCAGAGAAAAATGTCTAAAACAAACACAGCAGAACACCAACAGTAACATTCACATGTGACCATATTAATGAGAAGTTTTAATACAAACATTACCAGTCGTGATGTTATAATAATTTTATTACTCTATGCTAATTAATGTATGAGAAAAAAATATTTTACTTATAACTTCAAACAATTCAATCTTTTTTTAAAAGTGTAACCATTTAATATGATGATTGAAATGTACTTGATGGTAGATCAAACAAACATGTCAATTAGAAATCAGCCTAAAACCTTTGGGTTATTTATAGATTAGAAGCTACATTTTCACTAGAATGGTGGAAACAATAAAAACAGACTGCAGTGAAGATTACACAGCAGGACTCCATGGCAACCAACAAACACAACTGGCGTCATCTTAGTCTAGGAGAGTGCTTGTCCTGTTTACTCTTGTTTTTTTAGTTGCCATGGAAACCAAAGAACCAGGCTATGTAGCTGAGTTCATTTGACTTTTTTCCCTTTTCACAACTAAGTAGAAAACTAAGTAGAACTGGCAACTCTATTATGTTAGGCAATATTGGTATTCAGACCAAAGCCAAATGTAACATTAATCCTAATTAAGAGTACAATTGGTAGTGGTATATGCTGATTAGTATATGCTGGTACAAAACTAGTGTTACAATAGAAACATACCAGTGTACAGCAGGTACAAACATACAAATGTACAGCAGGTACAAACATACAAATGTACAGCAGGTACAAACATACAAATGTACAGCAGGTACAAACAAGTGTAAGTGTACAGCTGGTACAAACTGGTGTACAGCTGGTACAAACTGGTCTACAGTTGGTACAAACATCAGTGTACAGCCTGTATAAAAATACCAGTGTACAGCTGGTACAAACATACCAGTGTACAGCTGGTACAAACTGGTCTACAGTTGGTACAAACATCAGTGTACAGCTGGTACAAGCATACCAGTGTACAGCAGGTACAAACACACCAATGTACAGTTGGTACAAACATACCAATGTACAGCTGGTACAAACATACCAATGTACAGCTGGTGCAAACATACCAATGTACAGCTGGTGCAAACATACCAATGTACAGCTGGTACAAACAAGTGTACAGCTGGTACAAACATACCAGTGTACAGCAGGTACAAACATCTGTGTACAGCTGGTACAAACATACCCGTGTACAGCTGGTACAAACATACCAGTGTACAGCAGGTACAAACATCAGTGTACAGCTGGTACAAACATACCCGTGTACAGCTGGTGCAAACATACCAGTGTACAGCAGGTACAAACAGCAGTGTACAGCTGGTACAAACATACCAGTGTACAGCTGGTGCAAACATACCAGTGTACAGCAGGTACAAACATACCAGTGTACAGCAGGTACAAACATACCAATGTACAGTTGGTACAAACATACCAATGTACAGCTGGTACAAACATACCAATTTACAGCTGGTACAAACATACCCGTGTACAGTTGGTACAAACATACCAGTGTACAGCAGGTACAAACATCAGTGTACAGCTGGTACAAGCATACCCGTGTACAGCTGGTACAAACATACCAGTGTACAGCAGGTACAAACATACCAGTGTACAGCAGGTACAAACATACCAGTGTACAGCAGGTACAAACATCAGTATACAGCTGGTACAAACATACCCATGTACAGCAGGTACAAACATCAGTGTACAGCTGGTACAAACATACCAATGTACAGCTGGTACAAACATACCAATGTACAGCTGGTACAAACATACCAATGTACAGCTGGTACAAACATACCAATGTACAGCTGGTACAAACATACCAGTGTACAGCTAGTGCAAACATACCAGTGTACAGCTGGTACAAACATACCAATGTACAGCTGGTACAAACAAGTGTACAGCAGGATCAAACTGGTGTACAGCTGGTACAAACATACCAGTGTACAGCTGGTGCAAACATACCAGTGTACAGCTGGTACAAACATACCAGTGTACAGCTGGTACAAATATACCAATGTACAGCTGGTACAAACAAGTGTACAGCAGGTTCAAACTGGTGTACAGCTGGTACAAACATACCAGTGTACAGCCAGTACAAACATACCAGTGTACAGCTGGCACAAACAAACCAGTGTACAGCTGGTACAAACATACCAGTGTACGGCTGAAACGGACAAAGGTGTTAATGGAAGCACCTATTAATAGGTTCATATTGCTTGAAGATAAAAATGGAAGGTTTAGATAATTGGAAATAATATTTCACTAGGAGGAGGGGGGGAGAGAAATTATGGCTATTTTTGACCCAGATTGCTGCCAAAGTGTATGTTGACTTAACAGTATACACATAAAAATTTTTGTCAGAAATGCCTGGGAGTGTACAAGTGGCATGTGGGGAGAATCTGGTGAGAATATAAGAGTGAGGACCTCACTGTAAGTACAATAGGGTTTTACCATCTGTGAGCTGTGGTTACTTTGGTAAATATAGTGGAGGTCATGTATAATGAGCTGTGAGGCAGCAGTTGTATGATTGATCATGCTATAACACTGTATTGATTGGCCTGCAGCTCTTCAGCCTAAGGACTGGGAAATGCAGTTACCATGGTGGCCAATAACAAGCCAGGCGTTGGCTGAGAGAAAATGTCAACAATTCCTCTGACAATGTAAACACCAGATGTGTGCCGAAGATGTCACCAGCCAACAGAATTATCTGACCACATGAAATCCATCACACTAGCGCAATTAACGGTCAACTGGTTGATAAACACTTTGATGCCTGTCAGGGCAGACCAGGTGAAAAATGATCCACACAAGATATCAAAAGTGTTGCCCTTGGCAACGTCACATTTGTTTAGTCCAATGGAAACCCCATTGCCAACAACAGAGTCAGTTGGTTGCCACCTTGTACCCACACTGACACCTACCCACACACCTTCCACACCCACACACCTTCCACACCCACACACCTTCCACACCCACACACCTTCCACACACCTCCCACACCCACACACCTCCCAGACTGCCACCTTTGCAAGCATGTATCCATTAATTGTAAACTTGAATTTTTCCCCATCCATCAACTGGCCTTCTTTTAAACAGACATGAACAAAACAAACAATAAGGCTGCTCACAAGCAAAGAGATTCCTACTAATCCAGTTACTTAGTGGAACTCATACCTGACTGCTTTATGCATGTCCCAACATAACCACTCTTCTAATGCTTTGATACCATAATTTGAAAGAAGTGTTGAGCTGCTTTATGTCCACGTTGGATAGACAGGGATATGTTAGAGCTGCCTTTTTGTTGGCTAGATGACAACTATGGAAGTGATACTGTGGTATCCAGGTGCAAAATCAATATTAATAATTGAATTCCTGTTTTTTTTTGTACATCTCAGAGAAATAACTGACCACTTAAAAAATTATTCTCTGCCTCAACAGGGGGATGTATAGCAGGGACACTCCATTAGGACTTTTGATACTAGTAGTCAGGAGGCCAGCTAAAGATTTAAGTTGTAGACAACAAACATTCTGTTGTGTGACGGTTGCTGACTAATGGACCAACATTAACACACTTATACAAGTATTTTTAGCCCATAAACATTTTAATATAAATTAACTATTCACTAGAACTAGGAGCCTGTTTTTCATGAATCAAATTGACATGAGCCTCTACTTTTATTCAGGGTTTATTGAGCCCATATTTAGTGCACCTTGACAAGAGCTACTTTATCATTGTCTGTACTGATGCTAGCTACACTGTAAGGGCTTAATTACAGAGTGTGATTCTGCTGTTTCAGTGTGGCACGGTTGTTAGTTGCACATCTCAATGAACTATGAAGTAGGAAACCTAAACTAAACCTGCTGTTACAGAAACAAAAGACGGCTTAAATTACAGTTTTTCCATCCTGTGTTGCTATGACAACAGACAAACATGAAGCAAACAATCCTGTATCAAGTGTTGTACATGGGACTAGTTATTCAATGTTATCAACATTCAGCTTGACAGATATCTCAGGGCTCATCAGATAACCATGTAGTTGCACAACTTAATCAATTGCCACATTTTTTTAAAAATGGATATCATATTAGTCTTGGCTCAAATGATATTTTTTTAAGTAACAAGGTGACAACAGCCAGCAGCAAGGGAGATAATCAAACAATTTCCTCTGTTAATTAAACATTTTTCTGGACTGCACATTTCAATAATTTCGTCATAATCTTCAAAGATGCAGTTTTATTTAACACAGATAAATTTTGAATTTTCAAGAAGATTAAATGAAAATATTTACAAGTTTTACTAGGATTAAGCAGCAAATATTTGCAATGTATATTTTGTAAGCTGATGTTCCTGCAGTGTATTAAAAAAATTTTTATTTAATAAGCTCACATGGTGGAAGGTTAACTTTCTATTTAAATTGGGCGCTTAGAGAGAAACATTTTTTTAATTCTATGTCATTTTTTAATTGATTTTTGCTACTGATTACATTAAAATATCTGTGTATGGGAAAAGTGTTTGACATTTTACATGATAGATAGCTTCTGTGAGAAATTATGTCAGTTGAGAGAGGTAATGATGTGCATATGGTTTGAGTAATGGGGTGGGTGTATAGGAGGGAGTTCTTGGTGGGTAAGGAGTTTGGGGTGGCATGGTTTAAAGTGAAAGCTGGTTTTTGTGGAGTGCTAAGGTTGTACATGTGCTTGTGCTAGAGGTTGAGGTGTGGTTAGAGGGATGGATGCAGACTGATCATTATCTAGCTGATATTTAATAACCACAGCAAATACAATTTAAAAAATTTAGTTTAAAGCACAGTTTTAATTACTTAGCTAATAACTATCTTGTCCAAGAAGTACAGTCAAAGTAGAATTCATGTGTGTTCTCATATATAAAAAGATAATGTAGCCAATTTTATGCTCAAGTGCCTTAATTTTCTTTGACTTATGACAGCTACATTTTAACATTGGGGGACTCACAGATGTCCTATCACCTAAGTGAGCTCAAGGCATGTGAATTAATTAAGCGAATCTTAAATGTTTTTTTTTTTGGAAAACTGATTTAAATCACAATTATTTATCATTTTGACAATAAGTATTCATTCACATAGTAACGACTAAATTTTTATTGCCTGCTTTTTATTGGCCTAAATTTTAAAACACAAAACATAGAACTAAACATCTATAAGATTCCATATTTAGCCTAACTCTGATGGGCAACAAACATCAGTCCCTGTTCCCACCCAGCAATGATAAGCACATCATTTCTGTGATGCCTAAATGGCTGGATAAATTACTTAGCCTACAGTATAGTATTGTTCAACATAAGTTATTGTACTATAGGGTAATATATAAAATTAGTCAAATGCATGAGAATGTTACTGCATCAGTTACTAAACTGTAGTGCAATCTGTTCGTCTATATCAAACAAATGACAAAACTGATAAGGAAAAAAGCTGAAATTTGTTTTCTAAATATTCTGGTTTTTCTTACCTGTCAGAGCCAAGTAATCTAAATATTCTGGTTTTATCTATGATTTCCTGAGTCACCTGAAACATTGAGATAAACAGGTCAACATCAAACAGTTCATACTATAGATTGTGTCTTGACAGAGAAAATAAAACCATAGGAAATAAAACACAAAACATCATAAGATGACAACAAAAGTTTTAAAAAAACTAGGTGTTAGTTTTACCAGCATAGAGTGACCTACCTCATTGGCTTTAAAACTCCGTCCTTGCATCCCATGTTTATGGAAAGCTAACACACTGTCTTGTAATGTCACTGAGTAAAATAAAGAGTTTAACAATAGAAAAATGTAATACCAAATAAATCTTTAACAAACATAACGTAAAATAAAAAATAACATTAAAATTAAAAATATTTTAATTAAGAAACATTTTTATGAATTTATATTTTTCTATAAGCCAAACAATTTATATAAACATAAAATCTTGGACTGATATCTTCTGCATAGTGACAAGAAATGATTTGAAGAAACAAAAAAGCAGCTAAACTAGCAGTGCAATAGTTTACCTAATGAGTCAACAATACAGTCAAAATGAAGCTCAGCTTGCTGTCGTCTACTTGATTTTAATTTCCCAGTTAGGCTCACCACTTTAACAAATTCTAAGAAACAAATTGGTTTTAATCAGTACATTTTGGCACAGTTACAAATTCAAGGAAAGAAATATTTTTTGTTCACAAATACAGTTTAAATATCAATGTATAAACAAGTGAAAATGTGGACACTAGATAATGGTACTTGTATTTTAAAAATTTCAGTAAAACAATATAAGAACTTACTTTCAAAACATATAAGTACAGTATCTTTTTCCAACTGTGTGACATTAACCACAGGTAGTAAATCACTTGCTGAAACAGAAATAAACATTGTATGAAAGTCAAATAAAAAGGTAGCTCACATCATAGGTCTACAACTACAATCTTAAGGTGGTTTTTGAAACAGCTCCTCACCTGTGTCTACATCAGTAAACCAGCTTGTCATACTATTTAAATTGATGACATCAAACTTTACATGGTTCCTGTCAACACTGATAAAATATATTAATAAACTTTTTAATATAACAAAAGTTGTTTTAACAAAGTATAAAAACAAACATAATGGAAATTTTATTTCTACTTTAACATGAATTATGGCCCTTAAATACACACTGTCATGAAAACTAGACAATAAAAGCTGAACATACCCTTTCCTAACTCCATAACACACCATGGGGTATTCGAGCTCAGGACTAATGAACATCTCAAAAACTTGCAGTTGTGGTGGCATCTGTTCGGTTTCAAAAGTCTAAGAAAAAGTTAGAAATGTCCCTTTTATTCTTAACATTGATATTTTTACAAAAATTATCTTATGTGTTGCCATACATATAAAACATACAGACTGAACTAGAACTCTGCATAGGCAAGAATGATATAAAAACCTACCTTGAGCAACATAAACTTGTTCAAGGGCTCATACCACTGCATGAGTATCACCCCATTACTTAACGCACCACACAGATAACGGTAGCCATTGTAAGGGTTGCGACCTACACAACATCGTAAGCAGCCTCTTGTATCTGGAACTTTAACTGTTGGTTGGAGGCGCCTGGCGAGTACATGTATATTTACCAATTAGTTCCAGCTCACTAACAGTCAATACAGGTGTTAAAATATGACCAAAAAGTGGAATTTACCTTGGAACAAGTTTTTCTGGAATTTTATTCATGGGTAGAGAGAACCGGCTTGTCTGTCTAGTGTGGAGCATCATTAAATCATGTCTGTACAGGGTTGGTGTCTTGCCTTAAACATGGTATAGTTGGATAGTGAGAGAAATCATTAAATCATGTCTGTACAGGGTTGGTGTCTTGCCTTAAACATGGTATAGTTGGATAGTGAGAGAAATCATTAAATCATGTCTGTACAAGGTTGGTGTCTTGCCTTAAACATGGTATAGTTGGATAGTGAGAGAAATCATTAAATCATGTCTGTACAAGGTTGGTGTCTTGCCTTAAACATGGTATAGTTGAATAGTGAGAGAAATCATTAAATCATGTCTGTACAGGGTTGGTGTCTTGCCTTAAACATGGTATAGTTGGATAGTGAGAGAAATCATTAAATCATGTCTGTACAGGGTTGGTGTCTTGCCTTAAACATGGTATAGTTGGTTAGTGAGAGAAATCATTAAATCATGTCTGTACAGGGTTGGTGTCTTGCCGTAAACATGGTATAGTTGGATAGTGAGAGAAATCATTAAATCATGTCTGTACAGGGTTGGTGTCTTGCCTTAAACATGGTATAGTTGGTTAGTGAGAGAAATCATTAAATCATGTCTGTACAGGGTTGGTGTCTTGCCTTAAACATGGTATAGTTGGATAGTGAGAGAAATCATTAAATCATGTCTGTTCAGGGTTGGTGTCTTGCCTTAAACATGGTATAGTTGGATAGTGAGAGAAATCATTAAATCATGTCTGTACAGGGTTGGTGTCTTGCCTTAAACATGGTATAGTTGGATAGTGAGAGAAATCATTAAATCATGTCTGTACAGGGTTGGTGTCTTGCCTTAAACATGGTATAGTTGGATAGTGAGAGAAATCATTAAATCATGTCTGTACAGGGTTGGTGTCTTGCCTTAAACATGGTATAGTTGGATAGTGAGAGAAATCATTAAATCATGTCTGTACAGGGTTGGTGTCTTGCCTTAAACATGGTATAGTTGGATAGTGAGAGAAATCATTAAATCATGTCTGTACAGGGTTGGTGTCTTGCCTTAAACATGGTATAGTTGGATAGTGAGAGAAATCATTAAATCATGTCTGTACAGGGTTGGTGTCTTGCCTTAAACATGGTATAGTTGGTTAGTGAGAGAAATCATTAAATCATGTCTGTACAGGGTTGGTGTCTTGCCTTAAACATGGTATAGTTGGATAGTGAGAGAAATCATTAAATCATGTCTGTACAGGGTTGGTGTCTTGCCTTAAACATGGTATAGTTGGTTAGTGAGAGAAATCATTAAATCATGTCTGTACAGGGTTGGTGTCTTGCCTTAAACATGGTATAGTTGGATAGTGAGAGAAATCATTAAATCGTGTCTGTACAGGGTTGGTGTCTTGCCTTAAACATGGTATAGTTGGATAGTGAGAGAAATCATTAAATCATGTCTGTACAGGGTTGGTGTCTTGCCTTAAACATGGTATTGTTGGATAGTGAGAGAAATCATTAAATCATGTCTGTACAGGGTTGGTGTCTTGCCTTAAACATGGTATAGTTGGATAGTGAGAGAAATCATTAAATCATGTCTGTACAGGGTTGGTGTCTTGCCTTAAACATGGTATAGTTGGATAGTGAGAGAAATCATTAAATCATGTCTGTACAGGGTTGGTGTCTTGCCTTAAACATGGTATAGTTGGATAGTGAGAGAAATCATTAAATCATGTCTGTACAAGGTTGGTGTCTTGCCTTAAACATGGTATAGTTGGATAGTGAGAGAAATCATTAAATCATGTCTGTACAGGGTTGGTGTCTTGCCTTAAACATGGTATTGTTGGATAGTGAGAGAAATCATTAAATCATGTCTGTACAGGGTTGGTGTCTTGCCTTAAACATGGTATAGTTGGATAGTGAGAGAAATCATTAAATCATGTCTGTACAGGGTTGGTGTCTTGCCTTAAACATGGTATTGTTGGATAGTGAGAGAAATCATTAAATCATGTCTGTACATGGTTGGTGTCTTGCCTTAAACATGGTATAGTTGGATAGTGAGAGAAATCATTAAATCATGTCTGTACAGGGTTGGTGTCTTGCCTTAAACATGGTATAGTTGGATAGTGAGAGAAATCATTAAATCATGTCTGTACAGGGTTGGTGTCTTGCCTTAAACATGGTATAGTTGGTTAGTGAGAGAAATCATTAAATCATGTCTGTACAGGGTTGGTGTCTTGCCTTAAACATGGTATAGTTGGATAGTGAGAGAAATCATTAAATCGTGTCTGTACAGGGTTGGTGTCTTGCCTTAAACATGGTATAGTTGGATAGTGAGAGAAATCATTAAATCATGTCTGGGGAGGGTTGGTGTCTTGCCTTAAACATGGTATAGTTGGATAGTGAGAGAAATCATTAAATCATGTCTGTACAGGGTTGGTGTCTTGCCTTAAACATGGTATAGTTGGATAGTGAGAGAAATCATTAAATCATGTCTGTACAGGGTTGGTGTCTTGCCTTAAACATGGTATAGTTGGATAGTGAGAGAAATCATTAAATCGTGTCTGTACAGGGTTGGTGTCTTGCCTTAAACATGGTATAGTTGGATAGTGAGAGAAATCATTAAATCATGTCTGTACAGGGTTGGTGTCTTGCCTTAAACATGGTATAGTTGGATAGTGAGAGAAATCATTAAATCATGTCTGTAAAGGGTTGGTGTCTTGCCTTAAACATGGTATAGTTGGATAGTGAGAGAAATCATTAAATCATGTCTGTACAGGGTTGGTGTCTTGCCTTAAACATGGTATAGTTGGATAGTGAGAGAAATCATTAAATCATGTCTGTACAGGGTTGGTGTCTTGCCTTAAACATGGTATAGTTGGATAGTGAGAGAAATCATTAAAACATGTCTGTACAGGGTTGGTGTCTTGCCTTAAACATGGTATAGTTGGATAGTGAGAGAAATCATTAAATCATGTCTGTTCAGGGTTGGTGTCTTGCCTTAAACATGGTATAGTTGGATAGTGATAGAAATCATTAAATCATGTCTGTACAGGGTTGGTGTCTTGCCTTAAACGTGGTATTGTTGGATAGTGAGAGAAATCATTAAATCATGTCTGTACAGGGTTGGTGTCTTGCCTTAAACATGGTATAGTTGGATAGTGAGAGAAATCATTAAATCGTGTCTGTACAGGGTTGGTGTCTTGCCTTAAACATGGTATAGTTGGATAGTGAGAGAAATCATTAAATCATGTCTGGACAGGGTTGGTGTCTTGCCTTAAACATGGTATAGTTGGATAGTGAGAGAAATCATTAAATCATGTCTGTACAGGGTTGGTGTCTTGCCTTAAACATGGTATAGTTGGTTAGTGAGAGAAATCATTAAATCATGTCTGTACAGGGTTGGTGTCTTGCCTTAAACATGGTATAGTTGGATAGTGAGAGAAATCATTAAATCATGTCTGTACAGGGTTGGTGTCTTGCCTTAAACATGGTATAGTTGGATAGTGAGAGAAATCATTAAATCATGTCTGTACAGGGTTGGTGTCTTGCCTTAAACATGGTATAGTTGGATAGTGAGAGAAATCATTAAATCATGTCTGTACAGGGTTGGTGTCTTGCCTTAAACATGGTATAGTTGGATAGTGAGAGAAATCATTAAATCATGTCTGTACAAGGTTGGTGTCTTGCCTTAAACATGGTATTGTTGGTTAGTGAGAGAAATCATTAAATCATGTCTGTACAGGGTTGGTGTCTTGCCTTAAACATGGTATAGTTGGTTAGTGAGAGAAATCATTAAATCATGTCTGTACAGGGTTGGTGTCTTGCCTTAAACATGGTATAGTTGGATAGTGAGAGAAATCATTAAATCGTGTCTGTACAGGGTTGGTGTCTTGCCTTAAACATGGTATAGTTGGATAGTGAGAGAAATCATTAAATCATGTCTGTACAGGGTTGGTGTCTTGCCTTAAACATGGTATAGTTGGTTAGTGAGAGAAATCATTAAATCATGTCTGTACAGGGTTGGTGTCTTGCCTTAAACATGGTATAGTTGGTTAGTGAGAGAAATCATTAAATCGTGTCTGTACAGGGTTGGTGTCTTGCCTTAAACATGGTATTGTTTGGTTTGAGAACAATCTGACATACTTTAACAAAATCTAACTTACTACTTAGGTTAAATCTCACCTGATAGGGACATTAAAATATCTTTTATTGCATATAACCAGGTACATCTTCGGGCATGGACCTAAACAAATGACAAAAAATCAGTGTGATTAGGCCTAGCACTATCACAGAATACAGCAACATGTAATTAACAAATACAAATATTTTCTGAGTGCTTCTATTGTTTATCCATCAAGAGCCTACACAAATAAATAAATGTGTGTATTGTCATTGGTTCCAACCCAAGAGACAGTTCACATTGCACCAGCACAAATAAAAATATATCATATATATAGTAAACTAAACTAATTTCCTTATTTCAATAAAGAGCTAATGTCTTTGAGTGGACAATACATTGAAGTAAATATTGTTTCGGATATTTGTTAAACAAAAAGATGTTTCAACCTTAAAGAGTTAAAATTAATAGGCCTACTGCTATTAATTAAAGAATAAGTCTTTTTTGTTTATTTATAAGGATATGAATATTTTTTGACTTCTTATACAAGTAAAAAAACTTACAAGTTCCATGGAAGCTTCATGAATTTCATTTAAATTCAAAGTATACAGCCCTTCATTTGCACCAATAAAAATATATTGATCTGTTGATAGTATAATCAAATGTATAACAAAGAATCCACTAAAGTATATTCAGTAAAGCAAAGTAAAATGTGGAGGTATACATTTATAGCAAGCAAATCAAATGAATGAGAAATATTAACCTCTTGTATCTGGGTGTACCCAACTTGCTGTACAATTTATATGCAATGGACAACCATTAAATACTTTGGAAAAACATGCCCCCATCTAAAATAAAAAAATTATTACAATTTAGTATATAAAGAAACTATTTTTAAGTTTAAGAAAAAAGTTACAATGTATTAACAATTCATTAAGATTGAATCTAAAATGTGATTCTGTAAGATAATTTAAAGAAAAATGTGATTCCACAATGATGAAAATGTCCACTTACATGAACCTGGGGAGTAGGTGGAAGACCGTTACTAACTGGACGTTGTTGACTAGTTTGTATCTGAAGAAGGGAAAGAACATAACTTTTTTAAAGTCTTCTATTTTCAATGCTATTTTGTCTAGATCTTTATCAGTAATATTAGCAAAGCTTTTTTTTAAATTAAGAATCATTTTATTTACATTATCCTCTTTTTTCAACCTCCGTCTAGGAGGGACAGCTGGTGTTTGACTCTCTTCACCGCCTCCTTCAGGAGAATCACCATTTTGAGAGTGTAAAACATCGCCATTAGAGTGTGGAGATGACCGTTTAGGTGGCAATGCTGGCGGGTTATCTGAATCGCCTGTCATATCTTCTCTTTGTTTACGAGCTGATGAAAAAATACACATGTATGTCAATACATGTTTTGTAAATATAACTATTGTAAGAAGTTTTAAGTGAAATTTAAATGATTATAAAAAGAAGCAAAACAAATAATAATGATAAAAGCATTATTTAAATTTTGCAAAATGGACAAATTCCATTTAATGATTAACTATAAAAAGAGAAAATGATGTGAAGCTCAACAATAAAGATGAATGTGAATCTTGTAGTAAAGGAGAATGTGAAGCTTGTGGTAAAGGTAGTAAATGTGAAGTGTATCTAATAAAAGCGTTGTAAAAACTTACAAGAGATATCTAAACCAGGTAAAGAAGAGGGATGTGAAGCTTGTGGTGTCAGAGTTAACATTCTGTCTATCAATGAATCCATGTCAGGCCCATTATCCTCAAATTCCTCATCTTCCCCAACAGAACTTGTACTCTGCCTTGCATGTCTACCAGCATTGGATTTATCTAGTGTTCTAGGAGGCTGCAGACAGTCATAGTTCAGGTCAATGTATGATAAAGAAATGTTGATTAACAGGTAGTTCAACAAAGCACTAGTTCTTTACTCACCTTGGGGGGTGGAACAGGTGGTGCACTCATCTGTAAAGTAGGTCTGTAAGAAAGAATACTTCAAGTTACCAGATAATCTTGTATTCATTCATGCAGAAAAGTAAAATTTAAATAAGAAAATTATTTAATTTAAAAAAGCCCATTTTAAATTTTTTTCTTAAATTATGTCGAACAATTTCCTAAGAACAGAATTTTTTTTCTCTTTAACATTTAGGAACTAGTGATAATATTCTATTACTAAAAGTAAAAAACATCTTGAATGTGAGTAGCTGAAAAAGCATACATTTGGACATTTACATGTAAAAAGTTCAGGTAAAAACACATTTTTCGGAATACATTTTCGGTAAATATTTCTAAAGCAAACAGATTCAAGCAGCTTATATTGCAGTCTTTTTTTAAAATAAATTCATTACATTAAAGCACATTATAAGCAGTAATTAGAATTTGATTTTTTTTTAATGTAAGAAAATTATTATTTTTCAAGAGTTTCAAAGGTTTTTAAATCATAAAACCCCAAAACATAAATCATCTATTTAAAAAAAAAGATATAGCAACATTTTATGATGAGTTTCATTTAAAAAATCTACTTTTTAAGAAATTCTAAACATCAAGAAAAGTAAATTTAAGTGTAAATTCTGCTGTAAGGAAACAAGATACAAAGGCTGCACATCTGGAAGAAAGTCCACTAGTGTCAATGTTTTACTACTACACTAGAGTCATGTCTAATTACATCTTCTGCAGAGCCAACCAAAATATACAGAAAGCAATAAGAACAATAAAGCTAACCAATACATTAAGCATTCTTAGTCAGTTTAGCCACTGGTAAATGGGATTTATTAACAGTAATTAATAAGGTTAAGAATGATTACATCATGTGTTTTCTCATTTAGATTTCTGAAAGTATTACATCACTTGTCAGTTTTTTTTACAATATCAAGCCTTTAAAATTAGATTTGTTAATTAAGTTTATCTATTAAATGGTTTCATAATTGTTTAAATAAATTGCAATGAAGTAAATAATTAATGTTGTATCACAAAACAACATGCAACAGTTAATTTGTGCTGTTCTAATTTCATTACTCCAAACAATTTGAACCAGTTTAAAGAATTAGAAATAACTTAACAGCTTTAAAAAAACAATCAAATAATAAAAAGTACTGAACAATAGACTAGAGATATTAATTCATCAGCCATGCAACTAGTGGACCAGTTCTTACTTTTCATGGATCGAAGTTATCACATCCTCTAAACATAAACTACTCCGATGACCTCTGAAAAGATTATTTTTACGTTTTTCTACTCGGTTTGTAAAACTTTATGCTGTCTTCTTTAAACTATGGTTTTGTAAGTGCTAAAAAAGGTTTAAAAACTGAAAATGCATTGCTTTGAATGTAGATATGTGTGCAAATAAAATACAAGTGAGACATGAGCTACTGATAGCAACTACAGATGTTAGATTCTGTATTTTATTCAAATATTACACCTTTTTTGTCACAAAAAATACAATTTTTACGCTAAGTTTTCACTTTTTTTATTTTGAAAACCACTGTCAAAATATTTATATATAGGCAGCAATCATGCAAAATGAATGATAGACATTTCCAGAATGAATTTTTCCAGAGGTGATAAATAGGTAATGTAAAAGACTGATGCAATCATTCTCTCAGATTGTTGTTCAGTTTTTACCTTTGAGAAAGTTCCTCCTCAACACACTCAAGCAAGCTCCTGAGTGATGAAAGATGGAAAGAAAGAAGACAACACAGAAAATGAGAAGGAAAAAACATTTACAAATAATTAAAAGTGATGTGGGCTGTAAAGATCAGATAAGATTAAGAGACCAACATTTTACAAAACCATATCCACTAAGATCTTTAAAATTTCAAATTGTTTCCACAAAGGTGTTTACTGAGGTGTGCAAGGTATTCTTTGTAGTGATGTTCTCTAGAAGGTTCAAAAAGAGTATTGATCTCACATTAAATTTGACCATTTATTATTTATTTCAAAAGATCTAAGTCAAAAAAAAAGATTTTTTTTATTAATTGGTGACTTTCTGATTTTATGCCAAGCACTATTTCAGAATGGGTTAAGAAAGTAATTGAATTAAATTTAGATACAAGATAACACACTGATGCCTAACAAAAGAATAAGCATCCTTTCTTAAAAAGAGTATTATTAAAATTTATATCAAATTCCCCAAAAAGGCTAACAGCTTTATTTCATGTAAAGTGTAAGTTATGATAAACGTAAGCCAAAAGTTAATTTTTGGAAAGAAAAAATTTTTTGACAGTGCTGCTGTAATAATAGGGTGCTCTCAAAACTGAAATTAAGACACTAAGCAGGTAAAAATGAGCAGCAAAATTACTAAAAATAGCTGTGTTGAAGCAATTGTTGTGTGTTAAAGCAAATACAAAATTAACACATAAACTACCTCAAGTTAGTACAATTGTTCAAAAAAGATTTTTAGGGGAAAAAAGCTGCTGCTTTTAATTGTACATATAATTAAGAGAAAGTTTATTATTTATAAAAATTGAATAAAAACTGAAATAATGTAATATAAATTACCAACCAAATAATGAAATCAAAAAGAAATCTCTCTAAAACCATTACACGTCATGAAAGAAACAAAAAATATATAATCTACTCACTTTTGAGACAGATCATCATCTAGCCATGGTTTTGCCGTATTATATTTTTCTTCCTAAAGAGAAAACAACTAGTGTATAATATCTAGCATAAAATAGTTTAGATATATAAATAACCTCTACTCCCAGTCCTATTTAAAAATAAAATGAGAATTGAACAATAAAATTGTCAGCTGTATCTAAGAATAATATTTAACGCTTACCTCTCCTTGGTCTGTGTTGATATTTACTGAAACAGTTAATTTTAAAATAATTTGAATTATTTGCCCACCTAACAGGTATTTAATTAGTTTTAATGTTTTAAAGTTTTAAATACAATTCAAACCATGTCCTACTATTAATTTAACTAATAATCAGTGTAATATATAAACAATTTTTTTTTATAATACTGATCTTGAAAACTATTCTATTGATTCACCTTTGAGTTCAATACTGTTTGTGGCTGCAAGTTGGCGTGATGTTTTATTAGATGGTATTCTTTTAGGAACATCTTGTAACAGCTTTTAAAAAGGAGAAGAATTTTAAAAATAACCAATTGAACGCTTTTTTACTACAGCTTTAAATAGCATGGTTACATTATTTATAGTGCATTATATTATTTCAAAACAATATTTTTTTAAACTACTGCTTTGCAGTTAATACTAAACGATAATATTTATTAAATCAAATATAATTTTTAACTTACTCCATCCTCATCCTCAGTAAGGTCAAAACTATGTGTAGGATTTCTAGATTTTTCAAGTAACTCTTTAGTTAGTCTTCTGCTAAGGTCACCTTGGAGAAATGGATGCTGTAGATAAATAAACATCAAATTCAACACAAGTGGCAGCTTTAAAGGAATATTTATTGGAAGGTTTTACTTTTATTATCATTCTTTTTTTATAGGGATAGCATATATTTTTTTTTTTTAAAAACATGTAACAACATCTATCTTACATCTATCAACTTCTCAGCTGAGGGCCTCTTCTTGGGATTTTTAGTTAAGGCAACTTTGATAAAGTTTTGAAATACAGGTGTCCTGAAAGAAGTATCTTTATTAGTTTGTTGTTTTTTTTTTTGGTCATATCAAATGTTTTCATTTAAATGTTTCTCTGTGAATTTTTTTATTTTAGTACGATCAGGTTTTATGCAAGATAACTAAGAAAAGGTTGAGAGAAAGAAGTTGAAATTGTTTCTAACATAAAATTAAGTACTGATTACATTTTGTTGAAACTTTTAATAAATATAAATTAAAATAAATGTGTATTCTACTCACCATTTATTTTTGTCTTTAAGCTGAGGTGGCTTGAAACCACTCTTAGACATCAAAAACAGTGCTCTAAAAAATTATTTTAAATTTTAAAGAATTTTAAATTTAAATTTGAATGTCAATTACATTTTCAAGGTAATATTAGTTAAAGAAATAATCTTCTTATTACAAACAAATTGACAATCTATACCTGTTTAAAGCTATTTTACTATATGTATCAAGTTATTTCATTTGATAAAATAACCATTTCAAGGATCAAAAATCTCAAAAGTAAATAACACATAGGCAGACAGTACTACCAACCAGTGTGTTTTTGTTATGTATGTGAATACCTCATGGGATGTAAATCAAACATAGGTGGTTGTAATTCTGCAAATTCAATGGCAGTAATGCCCACTGCCCAGATATCACACTGCTGGTTGTATCCACCCTTTCTTTCTACAGCTGCCACTTCTGGAGCCATCCTGTTGTATAACAAATATTCAGTCAGATAGTTGTTTATTTTAATATAGTGAGAAACACATTTTTACCTTACTGACAAACATTGCCCTAAATAATTATTATAACCAAAGTAGATGTTATGCATGTTACAGGAGTATTATTTTTTTAACTACCCATCCATCTATAAGAAAGTATTCAAACAGCCTTAGATGAAAACTCACCAATATGGAGTACCAATGAAAGACTTGCGTTTGCACATTGTAGCAGTTATTTGAGCAGAAACTCCAAAATCAGCTGTGAACCGATATAACAAATTTGTAGATAATGTTGAATGACTATTCTAAAATAATGATTTAGAAATTGGGGTTAGTTCACAATCGATGGAAAGATATTTAGTGTCTGTTATATTATTCCTCTCCACAGCATAACAATGTAGTTGTACAATGATAATGGTTTTATTTAAGTCTTTATATTTACCTAATTTGATGTCTCCTTCATCTGTTACTAGAATATTTGCACCCTGTATTAAACAAACATTTTAAAAAAGGAATTAAAATAAAGTAAAAGCAAGATAGAAATAGTTATATCTGCGAGTTTTTCCGCCAGACCAACTTTCTCAACAGTAACAGTTTTATTGTTGTAACCACGACTACTAAACGCAGCCACACACAAAAAAAAAAAAAATAACTGGTCAAAATGACTTATAACATTTGTTAACTATAAAATAAAAAACTTAACCACTTCCTTTATTACATACCTTTATGTCTCTATGCATTTTACCCCGCCTGTGCAAATAACTGAGACCCTTTAGTGTTTCTTTACAAACAAATGCTATGGTGGGCTCCGGAAGAGGCCCAGTAACTGCAAATCAAAATTTAGAAAATCAAATTATCAAAAAACTACAAGTAAATACAGTAAAACAGTAAAAGTAATTTTACCTTTGAAGTTTTTGCGCAAATAAGCAAGTAATGATAAAAATTTAAAAATAATTATCTATTGGAAAGAAGTTATTTTCATTGTGCATTTAAAATTTCAAACCAATGTCTAAATGTATGTACAAATTACTAAAATATCTTCACCATGGTATATATCTTGCATAGATCCACCACCACAATACTCCATAGCAATCCATAACTTTTCACGTCTGTAAAAAATAAAATCATTAATTATAGACACATGTAAGATTACGATTATAGTTAAAGTTGCAACAAAATCAGATTTTAACATAATATTACCTCAGATAGCTGCCAAAGTAAGCAACAATGTTACTATGCTTGCAATCTTTCATCATAATAATTTCTTGCTGAATGACAGCAAAGTCATCACCTAAAGAAAATATATGCAAAAATTATTTTCATACTTAATTAACGATTATAATAATAGTGTAATGTCTAAAAAATTCCATAGTTAATGCATGTGGTAAAAAAGGTTTTAAAAAAAGTATGACATCTAAGTACTGAGAGTTGAAAAAAAATTAACTGTAGTTTAGTGTTGTGGTAGGTCTGACAAATAATGTTTAAGCATAGTTGTAAATAATAGCTTACCAGGTTCTAACTTTATGACTTTAATGGCTGCAAGTTCACCATTGTTTAAGTCTCTTGCCTGAAATAAGATGCCATTTAATGATTGCTACAGAGTTTGTGCATTTATAAAATAAATATATGTTTTAAAATTAAATAGGCCTAATGAGGTTTACATTTTTCAAACTTTTTCCCCCATAAAAAACAGAAAATGATGCAGAGTATTAAACATTTATTTTTTAAATTAAAAAATTATTTCTGTTTCATACACAGCTTTGTAAAGTCCTTTGTACACATTGTATGCACAAATGTAACCATCCCCCCCCCCCAATATACATTAACATTCATACATCACCCCCCCCCCCCCCCCAAATTCCTCTCTATGGACATTTTAAACATATAAGCTCTTATAGATTTGCATTTAAAACAATAATAATGCAGATTTTGTGAGATCAGCGATGTTTTCATTAATCACAGTGTGTATTTGCCCCTCATCCAGACCTTATGGACAAAATTTAAACAGGTAAAGCAGTTCTAGCCATTGTTAGGGTCAGAGGTCAACCTAGAAGTGTGGCTTGGCAAAATGCTTTTCTATTCAAAACTATTTATTAGGCCCTATTAAGTATTATTATTTAATATTATTAAATATTTGTCTTATATTTTTTTAATAGCCTTTTTACAAAAGGAAATAGATCAAGGTATATTTTTACTATTTATATCTAGCAATTAGGCCTTGAGTTGCCCTAAATTTCTAAGTTTGAAAAAATATTTTAAAATAATTTGGCTAAATAAGATAGCTAAATCTAAAATTTTTCCTTTGTGACTTTTCTGTGACTTTTTTTCCAGCAAAGATTGACTTTTTTTCTGTGGATTTTTTCTGAGACTTTTTTTTCCATTCACTGTCAACACTAATGTCACTAACACTATTCTAAACCCCAAACTCAAACTTAGTATACTTGTAGCAAGTGTAAAAGGGGTGTTAAAATTTAAGTAGATCTACTGGTTCTAGTGACTAAGACCGAACTGATTAAACCTGACATAAATTATAGATGATTTTAGGTACTGATGTCTAATAAAATAGACTCTTCCAAAAATAGGTAGATCTATGTTAGGTTGTTAGTAGTACTGTGATCTTGACTAGTTTTATGGTTAGAAATTACGGTTGGTTGAGGCAACGCCTGGGGGACGATCTGTCCGGGATTCAAAGGGTCGATTCTAAATATCATTCGCCTTCTCTAATACTAGATTATAATTTTATTATTAAAGGGTCTAAAACACTAGAACTAGAATTTAGTAGAAAAAGTAGATTCATGGGTTAGATTGATTAGATTCTATAATTTTGTAAGGGGTTATTTTCATATTTTTTTGCCCACAATTAATTTACATTAACATAAAAGCAGGCCCTTCTCCTTCTAGTCTAGACTACACTTTGGGTCATTGGTAGTTGAAGTAGTCTTGTCATATTTTCATGTATGAATTGAATAGGGGGACTGGGTGTGTAGTGTACCACCATTTAAAAACTTGAGTGTAGATTCTAGATCTAGAATGTACGTACTAATAATAGACTACTAAATAGAATACACACTGACTACGCTACAGTCAACTACACTCAGTGTACTGTACTGCTGGAGAGTTATGGCATAACTGCGAGTTACACACCTTATAAACATCTCCGTAAGTACCACTTCCTACTCTTTGAATAAGCTCAAAATCATCCTGTGGATTTCTTCGTAATATATCTGCAGACATTTTGTTAATGCTGAATTAAACGTCTCCGGGGAAGGCGTTTTTACTGTAGAGACAAATTTATTTTATGTCAGACCATGGCTCCAGACTTATTTTTCTCTTCTGTTTTTTTTTTTTTTTGCTTGTACCCTTTACATTAAGAAAACAATGACTTCCGTCATGCGCAGATGGGTATCACTGAGGAATTTATTTTATATCACGTTCTGCACCCGTCCGTATGACTGGTTTAAAGTGTAAAAAATAAATAAAACGATATTTTATTAGTGAACCGTCGAATGCCCTTTAGAGACGAGAAGTTTGTACTAAAAAAGTTTAGAATTTTAGTTGTTTTTAGACATACGAAAAATCTTTTTTAAAGTAGAAAACCTGTAGGACAATAAAATAGGCCTAACCGTTTCTTGTCTTTAGAAACAACATTAGGGGGGGGGGGGGGGAGGTCGTCCATACATGACGTCACATTCGTAGGGGGGAGGGGGTCCTCTAATATTGTGACGATGTGTGATGAGGGGAAGGGGGGGGGGGGGTATTCATATAGTGTGGCGTCACACATTTTACATTTTTGAAAAGGTAATGTTAGAAATTGAATGTTAGGGTTATTTGGCATTTTAGAAAACTGTTTTAATAAGTTGTAATAGAAATGTATTAAATTACTATATGATGACTAAGCTCAGTCAATTGCAATGTTGAGGCTGAAAAGTGACGTAATTTAATTGGGTTGGGTTCTGGTTTCTTGTGACGATGTGTCACGGATAGATGAGAGAATAAAAATCTTCAAAAAGTGTGACGTCATTTATGGAATATCTCCAGTTTCTTACAGGCATCTCTTTGGGGGGGGGGGGGGTTCCGATCACGTAAGGGCCTACCAAATTGTATCGTGACTAACAGGGAGATATGCTCGTATAATAAATGAGAGTTAATTCTTAGTCTTACTTACTTACTTAATCCTCATCACTCCCTGTGGAGTATAGGGCAGCAACAAATCTCCGCCATTCCACCCTGTCCTGGGCGAGCCACTTTAGTTCATGCCAGGTTTTGCCAGTAGCCTGTACTTCTTCTTCCATCTCCCTCCTCCATGTTCCCAGTGGTCTTCCTCTATTTCTCTTTCCGGGTGGGTTCCACTTCAGCGCCATGTTGGGGAGTCTTTTTTTGCTCATGCGTAGGACATGGCCCAGCCATCTCCATCTCCTCGTTCGAACTTCTGAGACAATGTCATTTAATCCTGTCCTTCGCCATATTTCCTTGTTCGGGACTTTGTCGTCCCACTTTATCCTGGGGATGCGTTGGAGGGATCTTCTTTCAAAGCCTCTGAGTCGGCTCTCTCCTTTCTTGTTTAGTTTCCATGACTGCAGCATAGAGGAGTACAGAACGTACATTTGACTTATAGATCCTTATTTTAGTTCTCTGCTGCAGTGAGGATGATTTCCAGATCTTAGCGAGTCTGTTGAAAGCTTGTGATGCCATTGCTATTCTGGTGGCAATTTCTTTCTCCATGCTGCCATTTGCTGATATATAGCTGCGAGGTACTTAAAGTCTTCGACCTCTTCTAGCTCTACTCCATTCGCAAAGGTATTGAGAGCACTTTTGGTTTTTATTTTCATTAGCTTGGTTTTTCCGGAGTTTATCTTTAGCCCAACGCTTTTGGCAATTTGCTCTATTCTTGTGGTTTTCGCTTGGATGTCTTTTTGGGCATGTGAAAGTAAAGCCAAGTCATCAGCAAAGTCACAGTCCTCTAGGTGGTTGGTAAGTTCCCAAACAATTCCTCTTGGCTTATCCTCAGTGGCTCTTCTCATAATCCAGTCTATTACCACCAAAAAAATGACAGGTGAGATGACACAGCCCTGTCTGACTCCTGTTTTTACCTTGAACCATTCACTTTGCTGATTTTCGTGTCGCACACAGCATTGGTTATCATAGTACATGTCCTTAAGTATGTTTATGACTTTTCCTGGAAAGCCATATAGCTCTAGTATCTTCCATAATGATGGATGGTGGATGCTATCAAATGCTTCCTCGAAATCTATGTAGTTGATGTAGAGAGACGAATTCCACTCCAGGGACTGTTCCACGATAGTGCGCAAGACAAATATTTGGTCGTTACATGACCTGTTGGCCCTGAAGCCAGCTTGTTCTTCACGAAGGATCCCATCAATTCCTTTCCTCATTCTTTGCAATAGGACTCTGCAGAAGACTTTTCCTGGTACTGACAGAAGATTAATGCCTCTCCAGTTCTCACAAACATTAAGGTCGCCCTTTTTGGGTAATTTGATAATGATTCCCCGTTTCCAAGAAAATTCTTAGTCTAATGAATGTTATATATTAAAAGTGTAGAGTTTGTGAAAATATGTTAAATAGTGAAAGCTGACCTATGTAAGATGTTAAATATGTTTTAGTTAGGCCTAATTATTTGCTTAAAGTTTAAGGGATTATAATATCCACTGCGACCAGAGGCGTAGCGAGGGGGGTGCGGACCGCACCGGGTGACACCATTTAGGGGGGGGGGGTGACACCAAGGCAAAAAATAGCAAAATATATAGAGAAAAACTTGAGGGGGGGTGCAAATCGAAAGTTTGAGGGGGGGGGTGCAAATCGAAAATTTGAAAGTTTGTCCCCGGGAAGGGTCGCTACGCCTCTGGGGGTGACACCATTAAGTGCCGCACCGGGTGACACCCGACCTCGCTACGCCACTGACCTGACTACGACGTCACGTTTTTTTTTAAAATTGTTTTTGCCTCCCCCTTATCCCGCCGTCACACATCGTCGCAAAATGTCAGACCTATAGCCCAAATCGGACGTTACACCAAAGCTTACAGACGTAAATATTGCTATACAGTAAGACAAAAGGCAAAAGCACGAAAAGCTAGTTAAATAAAAGCTAGTAAAAAGAGAAGTAGCGTACTTCTTTTTTTGTTATATTTAATAACTCCAGAGTAAGATTTCTTTACGTACGAAATTGTGTGCTCGTATTTCTAAGTAGCCTAACATGAGTGACTGACGTTCTTCGGGGGTGGGGGGTAGCATCGTTTAAGTTCTCAATATATAAGATACTGATCTCACAGTATCGGAAAATATTTTGCCCAAACATTTTCAGGCATTTTGACTTCACCCACACTTATGCCCAGACCTGTACTCAGCTTAGTCTTCAACATCTCCAACAATGTAAGTTTTCATCAAAGCTAATGGATACATAAGCTTAAGAGGACACGTATAATCAAACAACTAATTAGCCAATATCAAATACTGAAGCTGAGCTACGACGAGCGAACACGTGGTATTTTTCTTCCGACAGTTTTGATTTAACTACCGAACAAAAGTACCAAAGAAAATGGATTCTAAACCTTATACTTCAATACTCACGTAAAGGATAGAATTACTAGAACAGTCGTATGGGTCCTGCCCTCAGTCAGCAATGAGACTCTCCTGAAAGTTTTTCGTATAATAAGCAAAATAAGAGCCAAAATTACTATAGACATAATCCCCACACAAACAACCGCAGATTCACAATCTATTAAGACAACCCATCATCCATCCTACACTACATCAAGCTCAAACATAAAAAAAAACAGCAATAAAATTCTAATACTACTTCCCGGAAGAAGACAGGCGTGCCAACGAAGCTCCTCGAGGAAGCATTTTACTAACCATTGCCATCTTCGGATTCAGACTCGATTTAGATTAAAGGTTGAATACCACAAGCAAAGGATGGTACAACAATCACGACAACAGCTCATAATATCAGCACGGCACAACCGGAGTTCCCAACATGAATGCCAACCCAGTATCCCCAAAAGCGGGCAACAACCCAAAACAAGATACAACAAAGGATACAATAGGCCAGAGTTACTATGCACCTCCCCCCCCCCAAACGAAATGGAATTTATATAGAAAACAATTCCTTTTACCAGTGTGTGTCGTCCCCCCGGAAAATGTTGTCCACCCCCCCCCCCGAAAATATCAACCCCCCTTCCTCCCCCCCCCCCCCCGGAGAAAAAGGTCTGGAAGAAACACTGGGCCAGGCCATTTACACCTGCTACAGCAAAACAAGAAACACAGACATGGCAAATTCAGTAGCTACCACAAATAATCCACAGAAAAACACAACAATGGACACAGACATTTCTATTTTCAGTCAAAGCAACAAACAACGAATTATCACAAGCAAAAAAATACAACCCACAGAAATTGAAAATCCCAAGCTATAAAACCACAGGCAAAGATGGATACAGACATAACACTCGTTAAAAGGAAACAAATCATCAGCCCAAATATAACAAAAGACAGGGAATCAAACAGCGCAAAAATACATATCACCTGAAAGGAAGGTAGAGTGCGGATATTGCCTACTCCCTTTCAACAAAGTCAATGAACCAACAAAACACACATTCGGAACGGTTAGGCGTGGTCGAATCGATGAAGTTCATGGTTGCTATACCGAAAAGTCTCGAGTTTGATAGCTGATAGCTGGAGACAGCTACTCCTCTATGAGAGACAACTCCAAAATCAAACGACTGCCTTGTAGTTTGTTCTTGGTTGGATAAAGGCTATGGAAGCAAATCCAAAAAAGAAAAGTAACGGCCTATATGGTGCATAACCAGTTGACACGTAATACTTAATTGTGTTGGAGGGAATTCTTTCCACTACTAGAATTAAGAACGAATAGAAGAAGAACACAATCAGAATATGGAAGAGAAGCCACCTGCACAGTGTGCGAAACCAATTTCAAAAGCAGTCAATGAGCCGGACATAATGCTGAACTACACACAGGCATCACATTTTACGAATCCGGGTGTTGCGAAGATAGCTAACAACAATACGATGATCTATTTTGACACGGAAATACACCCCAGCTTGCAGATGGATGTCTTTAACACTCTAAAAATCAACCATGAAAATAAAAGCCTCAAGTAACCTACAACATGTTACATTGCTGGATGCCGTCCCTCATGGTGCTGACCACACTATCTCTTCATATGCCGAGGTCACAGAAACAAGTGAACTCGAGTAGGCAACTTCTGACACTGCAGGACGCGCAATTAACGGACACCATGTACTCAGGTAGCCGATGGGAAAGTCGGGGGCCCAAGCGTACGCTACGGCCAGGGCGCCGGAGGACCTGGTGCAGTTTTAAATGTTAAATTTTACTTTTGTTAAAGATGCAAAAGGGCCCTGTGTTTCCAGGGCATATAAATGCCTTGCTTATACTTGCAATCAGTGTTTCTTCCAGACTTTTTTCTCCGGGGGGGGGGGGGGCACTTGAAATCTTCGGGGGGGGGGGCGGTAAACTTTCTTCGGGGGGCGGACACTGTTAAAAGTATATATTTTCTATATAAATTATATAAATTTCATTTCGTTCGGGGGGGGGGGGGGGGGGGGCTGGAAGAGATGCCTGGAAGAAACTCTGCTTGCAATGCGGTGGCTATAATGCTGTTGCTGACAGACATTTTGCTCGTGTGAAACATCGATTTCTTTCTCAAATATTGAAATATTATATTGAATTATTTTATTATTCATTAGGCCTATTGATTTATTTATTATATTGATATATTAAAATAAGCATTTAAAATGTCATCATTATGTGTAAAAATACTAATATTCACTTTTTATAAATTCCTAGCCCCCCTCCCCTTTGTAACGCATCGTCACAAAATTTCTATTCTTTAATATATACCTCCCCTAAATCTACGTTCAGTTTTCCACTGTCGATTCCTACAGCTGACTGCAGTTGACAAAATAATAATAATCTAGAATAGGGAGTGTTCATTGATTTTTAATTGTGTGACGTGTAATCGCTGCGGAATCGAAACATGGCAGCCTACAATGTTTGGTCGAAAATAAAAATAATATTTATGTTATTAGTAATAATAGTTAAATGTACTCATACTGCTATTAAACAGGAACGAATTTCAAATAAAAGGTTATGTGCCGACGCACAGTGTAGCAGTAAGTTTTTTAAATTATTTTAGATCTAGAATCTAGAAATAATTCACGTAGATCTAGATCTAGATCTAGAAATCTAGATCTATTCTAGATTTCACTAATTCTAGATTATTTCTAGATCTAGATCTAGATCTAGATTCTAGATTTCTAGATCTAACTAAGACGTCTAGCATTTTTTCTAGATCTAGATCTAGTCTAAAGTTTCAGTCTTGCCATTTTATATTTTACCAAGAACCCTAGAGTGCCTAGAGTAGATCTAGAATCTAGATTAGGCCTATAGATCTAAGTAACTGCTTGCAGCTAGATTTAGCTAGTGGTAACTAGAATAGTAGTAAATTAAGGTAATCTATCGCTTTAGCGTAATCAATTCGGCCGGCTGTAGTAATGTGCGGGAGAGGTGACGGATGAATATTTTTTTTTAAATAAGTATATTTATGTCAAATTTTACAAAATATGACAGCTAATTGATTTAAAATAACAATAAGTGACCAAAACAATTTAAAATAAAATGAAACTAACTTTAAACAAGATGTTTGAGATAAATATAAGCACATAAAAACATCGGCCATCTTTCCAAACAAAATTAGAGTAGTTTCCCTTGAAAAAAAATGTCTATCTGTATGTATATTGTGTTGACTTTTGTTGTTTATATTCTTAGCTGCCTTGTTTGATATAAGTAAGACATTGGACCGCCTTCTCTTCTTCAAATTTCAATTGACTTCAAAAACTGTTCGAAGTTCCAACATTTAAACCTTTTTTTGCACAAAATACAGGAGGGGTAAAATAATTTAAAAAGAAATATTTTTATACAATAAAAATTGATGAAGAACAGGTTGTTTTTTTTTCGTTAGAAATGGTGATTTAGGGTTGGGGGGTGTCGCAGAGCTTTGCTATATGATATTAAACCAGCCACCTGGTATTTTAGTTACCATTAGGGGAGGGGGAATCGATTTTTTCATTCGTCGATGTTTATCTCTGCCTACGATCTTTTGTTACAAAAAAAATAATTAAAAATCCGCCGCCGCTTCATCCCCCATTTGGCACATCCTCGCCAATTTCACGGCGCGCGTGACGTCATTTACGGCTGGACTAATTTTAAAGAAAGAGATGCAGTAATTTTTAAGAAAATCAAAAAAAGGTACTACATTGTTTGGACTTTTGTTTAACGAATGATGTCTAGCTCGATACATGGTGTTAAATTAAACATGGCGGCGTGCGGTTCTCCGCCCACCTTATTCGTCCATACGAATTTGTGTGATTTTAATCTGCAGAGCAGTCTGGTTAAAACCTTTTTTTCACGAGGAGTATATATGTTCGGGCCTGTTAGTCGGCAGGTTGTTTTGGCGGGGATGATGTGTGTACATCGTTTAACACGTCTAAGGATTGCAGGCTTGCGATAGTTACAATCATTCGTTGTGAACAAGGTATGCATAAACACTAACATTTGGTGTTATCACAGTCATTGAACTTAGCAATATAGAAGTCTTCCTTCAGTGACGTCACGCATGTTTCTCCGTGTAACCCTTTTTTATATTATACATGTTGATTACGTACACGCCTAAGGTGACGACACAGACCCTCTCCCTCCCGTAGCATATCCTATGCGACAGCATTTATGGACAGTCCCATATCACTCATTGTGAGTATTTAATATCGACATTTTGACAATAAATATTCAAAATGTGTCTGAAAGACTTGAGGATCGATCATACATAACATCACACACCTAAATGATGGAGTAAATGATTTTTGAGACATTGATTTACGTCTAAAACGAAAATGATGAAAATCACAACTACGCAAAAACGAGGGGTTACCGGTTTAGCGTAATTGCTTTTTCTCAATATTATGCACTACATGTAAAGCATAATTATAGATTTTTATTGAAAAAATAATAGTATTTTATTAAATCGGAGCGTGGAATGAACAGTTTCATGTAATAACACTCAAACTCATAATAATGATAACATCAATACTGAAAGTCATAAAAATACTTAGAAAAACAATGACAAAAGTCATAACAATGCTGGGTAACAATCTGCTACTTAGTTCAGATGCTGTCTTACTCTTAAATAGTTCAACAAATAATCACATTCATAAACAACGAGACAAACTCAATAAACATGACAAATATTCTTAAACTGGATATTGTTCAGCAATGATGAGCAGAAACTCAGCAAAAATGTTGTCATGGGCAAATCGGCTTCGAAATTCGATTTCCCGAAGGTAAGATGGAAACAACTCACGAGTAGTGCCGAACTGTCTCTTAAGCTTCCTCTTAGCTCGCATCCAGAAGTTTTCAATATTCTGAGTATGAATCTCGGCATCGAGTGGATGGACAAAGTTGCGGTCATGAATTACGACTCCATGCTCGTAAATACCATGGGCTAGTTGTGGAATGTTTCTATACGCTGCCCAACCATCAGACATGATACGGGTCCCAGGAAGAATGTGACGAAGTATTTCTGCTTCAAGGGTTGCTGCATCGCGATTTGGTACTTCTACCAGAAAACAACGCCCCGATCCTCGCTCGATTCCACCGAACACCCAATGTCCTTCACGCCATTGTCCGCGATTGTATTTACGGTGGAAATACTTGGTTTCGTCAATCTCGACAATCACAGAATCGCCGTTAGCATCGAAGCCCCCGATTTGGGTAGCGTGTCGATCTAGATATACACCAATGTCTTCCCTACAGAAATTGAACCAGTCCACAATGGTATTGGGGCGAAGAATGTCAGCCTCTCTCATTGTTAAAGCCTGAGGAAAATCCTGGCTGAAACAGTACATTGAGACGGCTATTTTTTCCAAGGGTAAATGACTCCTTGCAAAAAAAGATCCGTCTCGCACACTCGTTTTCTTATTGCATATATCACAAGACCATCGCTTTGTGTCAATGCCCTGGTTATACACTTGCAGCTTGCACTGCACGTTGCAGACTGGGCAAATCATCTGGTTCTTGACCAGCTTCCGCTGTGCAAGCCAAATGAGTGCAGCCTCTGGGGTTCGGAGGTGCTCTGACAGCGTAATCAGCCGCCAAGACTCAGCACGGATAGCAACATCATTTAATACATCACCCTCTGGAATTATTGTTCGTCGATCAACTCGTGGTCTCCCTGCCATGGTGAAATAACAACGGATGTCGTATGTTTACCCGCGAAAAACATCAGATATCCGAGTTATTTTTGTACCAGCCAATGATAATACGAGGCTAAATCATGTGACCAGCTAGCACATCACTACACACAACAAACATATTAGCCACTGTAGATAATCCGACAGGGACAGAAAAAGCAAATTAAGGGGCGAAAACAAGAGTTATCTTGAGAAGAAAGACTGAGAAGTCAGGTTATTGGGCCATCATGATACAATGTTGCTACAATGTTCAAACCATTCGTTCAGCTTCCGACCCATACTAGTTGTTTTGACTTCCTATCGGTCATTTCAACCTTATTTATCATTCACGATCATACCTACCTCGTCCACATGTGTCAGCTCTAGAGTTGCAATAACTTTAATTTGTTTACCCCGGGCCTCATCATCATCAACTTCCTCCCTCAAGCCTTATTGTTGTCGTTGGGGCACCACAGCTGACATTATAATTCTCCCATTGCCGTCCTCTGCCGCTCTGATTAGTTCCAATCCCTGATCCCATCCATCCAGTGTTGCCTACCCAGCCCTGAACACCTTAAGCTCAAGGGTTAACCCATTGTGCTTCCAGCTTTTATTAGCTGCCTATTTTTCCAGTGGTCGGTGTTTACCCCTCCCTACCATTTATCATTACAAAAACAAAAACAACCACTATATAATGAGATTTCAAAGTTCGGGTCCATGTAAAAAAAAAAATCTAGATCGACCTATAGTTGTAGGAGAATTAGAATCCATCAGTTAGGGGTCGTCCATAAATGACGTCACACTCAAAGGGGGGAGGGGGGGGGGTAAAAAATCGTCAAAACAAGCGTGACGTCATTTATGAATGACCCCTTACCTATCGTCTTTCCTATACTGGGTCTTAATACTGCCGTTTCACCCCCCCCCCCCACTTAGAAACAACAGCCTCACCAAGTTCACGGCGCGCGTAACGTCATTTACCGCTAGTTCATTTTAAAGAAAAAGACCGTAATTAAAAAAAAAGTACTATGCTGTCGGGACTTTTGCGACGTTTTGCCTGGCGAATAGATCTCAATGAAGTTTAAATCGATACATTATAATGGTGTTAAATTAAATTAAATATGGTGGCATGCAGTTCGCCCGACAGACCCCCCCCCCCCTCTCCAGTAGCATTTGGGTATTTGGTATCGACATTTTGACTGGTAAAAGTATATATTTTCTATACAAAATCCATTTCGTTAGGGGGGGGGGGGGCAGAGCCCGCCTGAAGAAATGCCTAGAAGAAACTCTGATGGGGATCTACCATAAAAGACAACGCACACTTAACGGGTGTAGTAACTGGCACACTTAACGTGTGTAGTAACTGGCACACTTAACGTGTGTAGTAACTGGCACACTTAACGTGTGTAGTAACTGGCACACTTAACGTGTGTAGTAACTGGCACACTTAACGTGTGTAGTAACTGGCACACTTAACGGGTGTAGTCACTGGCACACTTAACGTGTGTAGTAACTGGCACACTTAACGGGTGTAGTCACTGGCACACTTAACGTGTGTAGTAACTGGCACACTTAACGGGTGTAGTCACTGGCACACTTAACGTGTGTAGTAACTGGCACACTTAACGTGTGTAGTAACTGGCACACTTAACGTGTGTAGTAACTGGCACACTTAACGGGTGTAGTATCTGGCTCACTTAACGGGTGTAGTATCTGGCTTTTGAGACGATGTTTTACTAGGGAAAGGTGTGTAAGAAATAAGAAATGGTATGAAGTGAATAGAGGTCATAAAACTGGACGCCATTAACGACTGAATCACATAAAATGGAAATAGCAAACAAACAATAAATTATAAGCTCCAACTATTATTTAAATAAACATTTACATTAGATCTAGTAGTAGCTCTACACAAAAAAAACGTAGCTTTCTATAAAAGTTACATCTCACAATAATTCTAGAACTGATGATTATTGTCAGTCAATAGAATTTTTAAATGGAGGAATTTTTAAGAAAAAAAACCCCCTCCAGCCTATGTATATGAAAACCAGGCACCCGTGTTTAATAGCGAAAATCATTACATTTTCATACAAATAGAAATCAAAGGGAATCTACTCGAAATAATGTGTTTTTAAGATGGCCGCTGTTTTAAATAGTAAATTTAGTATCTGGAACTTCGTTGTTAAAAGTGAATTTCAGGACATTTTAATTGATTTAGCCTTTAATTGTAATTTATTATTCAATTATCTATAGTATTTTATCATAATATGCAAAAATATACTCATATTTAACTCATATTCATTAGTTACCTTACAACTACATTACTACTTCAGCCGAATTGATTACGCTAAAACGATAGATTACCGTAAATTAATACAAAGTGATGAAGTGTCTACTCGGAAGATTTTTCTCCCCAAAGTCTCCACTTAGTCGGCAAAAGATAACTCTGCGCATGCGCAGTGACCTATGGCTAGGGTTAGGGCTAGAATGAGGGTTAGGGATAGGGATAGGGTTAGGGATAGGATTAGGGCTAGGGTTAGGGATAGGATTAGTGATTAGGGTTAGGGATAGGATTAGGGATAGGGTTAGGGATAGGATTATTAGGGTTGGTTTTAAGGGTTCTGCGGTTGTAAACACACGCATGCGCAGTACCATCGAAAACATCGCCGCAAAGGCAAGTCGTAGTTTCTCTCCATTGCGCATGCGTATCGCATGCGTATCTTATTCCGGCTAGCATCGACCGATAGACCAAATTAATATTATACTATTACTATATTCTATATTATTAATATTATCGCCAAGGTACACTATGATCTGTACGTGTACTGTAAGGTTGAGGCCCAGTTGTGATCTCATTCAGCCAGAGATATAAAGGGCCCACTCGAAATATCCCTTAGCCCTTAGTATGGTAAAATCACGATATAGCATCGGAAATTATTGGGTAATGTTCGTTGAGTTTCGGTAACATTCGTTACTGTAAACCATAGTTTATTTGACCGGTGAAAGAAAAATAAAGTCAAGTGCATTAAATTGTTTTAACTTAATTTAATGTTTGACTGACAAAAAATTAGCAACAATTAGTAAATCTAAATATTATTAATAAAGTCGAGTGTAGTAATTAATGTTTTTTTTTTTAAGAAACAGAAAAAAATCTGCAGAGGATTTGCGACAACCAGCTCTAGTTCTGTTAGTAAATAAGACGATTAGATTAACTAAAGTTAAAAGTAGTAAGAATAACTAGAATAATGTTTAGTACAGCAATAATTAGCACATACAATTAAAATAATTATAAATACAAAATAATTAGCAAAACAGTATTTAAAATGCAACTAAAATCAATCCTTGCACATTTTTAAACATTATGTATTAAAAATAATATGGCGGCAAATAAATGATGGTTTACAGTATTTCTGGTGGTTTCCGGAACGGCTCGACAGACTACGCCATGGTTTTACTGTTTTTTACTGCTGTACAGTTCCGGAATAATAACCGACGCTATATCGTGATTTTACCCTTAGTATTTGTATTTAGTCTAGATCTAAGTCACTGAGTCTAGTCTCTAGTTTATTAAAAGTTTGTAGATAATCTAGATAATTTTTTATTTTATAATTGAATTTGTTGTCTTTTTAGACATGTTAATATTTGTGTAGTTTAAATAGGCCTGTTACATAATTATAAAGTAAGTGTTTTAGTGACTAATTTCAATAGATAGTTCATAGTGATTTGTAACCCTTAGCTTGCGAAAGTATGAATAATTCTCCAATGATTATTTTTTTGTTTTACAGCTGTTATATCACGGGCTAGAGCTTTAGCCAGATATTCTGAAAATCATCCCTTATTTCTAACTTTTAATCAAGGTGACACAATTTTAATTAAAAGTAAATCAGCTGGTGACAATACAAGACTCTGGGGAGGGGAGGTAAGTAGCATTAACGCAGTATTTTTTTTCTTTCTTTATCATTTAAAAAACAATTTTCAGTTATTTAAAAGTCAAGATAACACTTAAGTTATAGCATTAAATATAATGTTTTAAAGTAATTAAATAAATTAAACAAATAATTAACATTTTTAAAAATACTATTTTGATGTGTAAAAGATTAAGATCTCACATACCAGGTTATTTAAGTAAATACACTATAATTGATTATATGTGTTTTTTTCCCCTCCAGTTAAATGGTAGGTTTGGTTATTTTGATAAAAGTTTTGTGAGGGAGTATCAAGTTTTATTCCGTGAACCATCATTCCTGGTCAATACAGAGGTGAGTTATGCTAGCACGGTTATTTTCTTTCTACATAATATTTAATAGTTGAAATAGTTGGGCGATGCTGTCTATGTATTATGTCACTGTTAAATGAGAAATCCTATTTACAATACATATGTAACATAGCTTCATTGGGGATATTTTGGTGATGGTCATGCATTATATATATTTTATGTATTATTATGTATTTTGATGTCTCTGTTTAAATGAGAAATCATATTTACAATACATAAATAACACTGCTTTTGTGGGGATAACTTGGTGGTGGTCATGTATTGAACGTCCTGTGAAAATCAATGGCTATACTGATATCTGTAGGTCACATGACACAAAAAATACAGGTTACAATTGGCTAATCTCAGAGGAGAAAAAATATCTTAGAATTGCTGACACAGAGCGCACAATTCATCTAGTCTGATCTTCACAATTATGTTCCCTTGTTGGTAAAACCTATTAAGAGTGTTAACGTACAAAGAAGCTTCTAGTGTCAGAAGGACAACGATGTGCAGTTTATCTTTGATGACTGTGACTTGAGTTAATGTGTTTGTTCTTATTTCAGAAAGATAAATTTGATAACATTGGAAAACAGCCTCTTCCAAGACGAGAAAGAAAAAATAATGAAGAGCCAGTGAAACAGGCTGCTCCAGTCCAGGGTAAATAACTCTATCCTTTTGATTGCTAATGAAATAATTTGTAAGATTATATGGGTCATAACTATTTAAGTTAGTTGCTTTCTAAATTATGTAGTTATAAGTATATAATATATTACAATTTAACTTAAAGCATATAATTTAATATGCTCTAATATAGTTGTGGTTATTATATTTATAAACTAATTGCTACCCTTTTGTATTTATTTACTGCATTTAAAATATTAACTTTCTATTTCAGCAGAAGATAGCCAAGATGTACATGAGGTAAAGACGAATTGTTGAACTGTTTTTAACCAGCATAATATTACTTATGTTTCCAATGTATTCTTACATATTTTTTCTGTTGCTACTTTTACATTTTTATTCTATTTAATGTAACCAGTATCTTTCATCAGGAAAAAGTGGTAGCTGACCCTATAGTTGAGATCCCAAATGGTGATCAAGATCCTACTAAACCACAAAAAGATGCTGATCCATTATCTCAACACTCTAACACAGAGTCTGAAGAAGATAAAGATGATAGTGATCAAGTTAAAGATGATGAACCTAAGGAACACAAAGAAGAGATTGAAGGTAGATTATACATTTCTTTTGTATGATATTTTTACCTTATCTAACATATAATTCAATTCAATTCACTGTTATGAGGTTTAAAGGGAGAAGTATTACATTATTATTTCATATGTCCATGTTAATATAACTTTTTCTGATAAAGTTGTTCTCAAATTTCCAGACAAAAAAGTGGGTTTAGGCACAGAGAACTGGGATCATTTAAATCATGTCTATCTTGACCCCGAGAGAGATCGCTTTGACACTTCAGGTCTTTCTTGCAGAATGATACTTATATAACACAAAAAAATAAAAAGTGATCAATTTGTCATAGAAGTTATTAAAAAAAGTTTTGGAGCAAAATATCCAACAAGATGTTGATAATTTATTAAAAAAAATATTTTTATCAGTGTGGATGAAATTTGTAAACCTTATTTTAACTCTTTAAAACATTTATACAATAATTTGGCAAAGGTTTTAGAAGTCAGTTTGAAGTTCATATTTATAACTTCCAAGTAGGCCCTGCCCTACAGTTGATTGAAAATTCACACAATCTTTAAATCCGAATTGATCACTTTAAATCCATATTAACAATTTTTTTTTCAGTGCCTTGTTGCAGTAATGTAAACAGTAACCTAACTGTATCCCCTGCATGTCGCAATGAATGGCTTAATAAACTCAAGTCTTCATTATACTAAAATCCATATACATTTTTTCCAGTGCATTATTATAGTTATTAACCTGAGTTATTTCCCCTGCATGTAAAATAAGTGGCTTTGATATAAATGGCAACATTACCATAAGACATTTCATCTATCTATTACACAATGCAAGTTGTGATGCTGTTGAAATATACATATCTTGTCCAAAGTTGTTTTTAAAAAACTTACTGTTTTGCCACTTGGAACAGATTATTATAGTTTTTGTTCACCAATTTACACAGGTTATAAAACTAACTTTGAATGTTTTTACATACATTTTTTAGCATTGATTAATACACACTCTTCACTTATGATATATAGCCTTCTAATAATGATTATACAAACCAGTGATATAGTTTTAGGCCTCTAAAATAGATCTGCAAGAAATATGTGGATTCGTTTTTACTCTGTTCACTTTCTTTTGTCTGTAAGGTTTGTTCTCTGGCTTCTTAAAAATGTTCAGAGGTGGGTACAATATTTGCTTTTTAAAAGCCTTGCTAAACTCTAAGCAAAACAAAAATCTTAGCCTACATTTTGTTTTGTTTTTCACAAAACAGTTATAAATTTCAAACTCCAATAATTAAGTCATCTGGTAGACACTGAGAGCAACAAAAAGATCCCTTTTCATCATGGACCTTGTCTCTTATTGTTAACAGTACAAACACCATCTGTAAACAAAAAAGAATTGTTTTTATGAGATGGTTAATGTTGTGTTGTTAGATCTAGCATTTTGATGGAGTGAAAATGGCATGGACATGATGGTAATAACATAGATTTTAAATGTGCAGTAGTTAGCATTTAGTATATTAGATACATCTCTGTAAATTATACTGCTTAAAATTTTTGGATTAATACAGATTTTCTACTATAAAGTTAATCATTCATTATTTTTTAAAATTATGCTCATTCTTGTGTATAAACTTCTTTTACTCTTCTATTTTTTCTCTTTATCAGTCATTGAAGCGTTGATAAATCTTTATAATCATTGTTGTTTATTGTGAGTTTTAATAACTGTGCATTGCATGCAGCTTTGTATTATTTCCAGCATGTGTAAATATGAACAGTCAGAAAGCTTGCCATTATAGTCTTGTACTGTAAACTGGACAGATTAATTGTAAATGTCACAAAATTAGAGACATCAGGCAGCTAGTACAGATTTCCCTTACATGTGTGTGACTTTGCTGAAATTCTTCCTATTTGATTTTCCCTAACTTTTACAAACTGCTTTTTTAACAAACTTTGTGCGCATGTTCCCCAATTGACAAATATAGTAATTAATTGCTTTTGACCTATAAACATGCTTTTGACCTTATCATATCTCATTTTTCTTGTAGGTTTAGCTGTAAGTTGAATAAAGCCCAGTTAGTTACATGTTAAAGTTTCAAACTGCTGCATCTTATACAACTAAAATCTGAAGTTTCACAAAATGTGCACAGCTGTGAAAGTCTTGATGCAGCCGCATGTTTCTTTATACTGTCTGCTCTTCTCATAGTTAATTAGAATAAGTCAAGTTGACTAATTTTTGTGTATCTTTTAGCTCAATTAAGAAAAAAGAATGATGAAGCTATTAACTTACTGTTTTATTTTAATAAGCAAATAGTTCTGTATTTTTCATTTTTATACTATGAAACTATACAAAGTATATTTTAATGTGTGCTGTTAAGCAACCAGTTATGATGTGCTAATTTAAACTCATCAAACCCCATTATTATTTTTGCCATTTAACATTTGAATTTAAGCATTAGTTCACTTCAAACTAGGTTTATTGTTTTGTTTAAAATGTTTTCAATTTTTCCTTTATTTTAGATATGAATTCTTTTTTGAGGAGGAAAATGGCAAACCTTGATGGTAGAAGAGAAGGTTATTTCTTTTTTTAAAAATTTGTTCATTTTTATTTTCAATTTCCATTTTGTAAGAGTAAGTTAGACAATTTATGCTATTAACTTATTAACATTTTTTTCCAGAGCATTCAAAAAAGCTGGTCAACCCATTACAAGATGGTGAAAGTAAACCAATGAAAGAAGTAGCTGAAAATGTAACCCCTCATGCTGACAAGGAGAGCTCTCCTTTAGCAGAAGATAAGCAAAGCTCATTGAATCTTGAAACAGTAGAAAAACAGGAACAAGTAAAGAGAGAAACAGTTAAGGCAGAGATTTTGGAAAATCAAGACAAAAAAACTGATTCAGATGTTGAAAATGGAAATTCTGAAGACCAAGAGGATAAAACAAAGTCAAAGGATGAAAATAGAAATCATGGCGATCAAGAAGATAAAACAAAGTTAAAGGTTGAAAATGGAAATTCTGAAGGTCAAGAAGATAAAACAGGGATTAAAGATGAAAACAGAGATGAAGAAGATGTTGATACTGATGATGAAGAAAAGTCAGACACGGTAGGTGGCTTGAAAGAGCCAGAAATAATGAGGAAAGAAACAGTGGATGAGAAAGCTGATGATGATGAAATGATTCCAGAAGAACAAGAAGAGCAGGACGAGCCAGCAGTAGGTGGTGATGAGGGCGGGTCTAGGGTTAAGATTGTGGATAGAAAGAATGATGTTGGTGTCCAGATATTTTCAATGGATGATGAGGAAGAAGAAGATGATGGTAATATCCCTGTGTACGACCCTAGGTCTCCCTCTACAGGGGATGTTAATGCCAGGTTGCCAGATAAAGCTGAGGCTGGAGGTAAGGACACAGAAAAACCTGAGGAGACTGACAACTGGAACCGGGCTGGTATAATTGATAAGGTTGAAGAAGAGAAGAAACAGGAAGCTCTAGAGAATGAACCACAGTCAGTAACACAAAACTTGGAAGAAAATGATCCAGTGGAACCTGAATTGAAAGCAGATCTTCCAACATTGAAATCAGACACACCTCTAGAAGATCTAAAGACAGAGGAAGAATCTTTTCACATTAAGCAAGATGGTGAGGACAAAACAACACATAGTGATTTAGAACAAGGGGAGCAGCCTGAAAATGTTGTTGAGGCAAATGTTCGTCCTGACACACCTTCAGGTATCACAGCTGAGCATGCACAAACAGCTGACCCTGTTGTGGTGTCTGAGGTCAAGCAGACAGCTGACCCTGTTATGTCAGAGGTCAAGCAGACAGCTGACCCTGTGGTGGCATCTGAGGTCAAGCAGACAGCTGACCCTGTTGTGGCATCTGAGGTCAAGCAGACAGCTGACCCTGTTATGTCAGAGGTCAAGCAGACAGCTGACCCTGTTGTGGTATCTGAGGCCCAGCAAACAAAGTCTGCAGCGCCACCTGATGGAGATTCACAGAGTGGTCTAACAAAGGACATCATTCCTAACGCAGATCAGTCAGAGCCAAGAGAAAAAAGTGCTGGTGGTACAGATGCTAGTATAAAAGAAAAAACTTCAGGGGCTGATGATGCTGGTCCTGTTGATTTGGATTACTTTCAAAGAGATGAAAGCATTGTGGTTGGTGATGCCTTCAAGGATTTTTTTAAAAGCAGCAATAGTGAGCCTAAGAAAGTAGATCTTTCAGAAGCTACTCCAGAGTTGGATGCCCCATCTGCCACTGTCAGGGCAGACAGCATTGAACACTCCAGCCCTGACTCGAAGGAAACACTGATAGAACCTTCCACGGCTGGCAATGTTCAGACCATCATAGAGGGTGGCTCCACCATACTGTTAGACGAGGAGGGCAATTTCATCACTGCTTTTCTTCAGGATGAACAGCCAACAAAAGTGACTGACAGCATCATGTCCTCTGAGTTGTCATCTTTGGAGATCTCCCAGCTGAGGCCAACAGCAGTTGTTGAAAATGCTACAGCAACTGAGTTTATCCAAGAAAAACCCAGAGATTACTCTGAAATATCACTGCAGAGTTCTATTCTAGATGCATCATTGAACAGCACAGCACAAAGCCCCAATCCAGGGGACTCAGTCCTAGAGAATCAGATTGTCAATGACATATACCAGAGCAGTGAGTTTAGCAGCCGTAAAGTTTTATCAGTGAGCCAACAGCCTCCATCCCCAGCACAGCCAGAGAAGAAGGTACAGCTCACTCAACAAGACAGTCCAGCATCTGCAGGACAAGTCAACTCTGGTAGTCAAGCTGCTCACTCTACAGATGACATTAAGGACTCTTTAGAGAGTGGTCATGATGATTCTTATCATCATTCAGAGCATGACCATACATCTCACACTGATCATGACCACCCCCACACACACACTGATCATGACCACCCACACACACACACTGATCATGACCACCCCCACACACACTCAGATCATGACCACCCCCACACACACTCTGGTCATGGCCACTCTCACTCCCCGCACACACACTCTGATCATGGCCACCCACACACACATGATGAACTTCCTGATGCTCCTGCACACAATCACCAAGAGAGTGAGCTCCCTGATGCAACATCATCTCATGGGCATATAGATAATGAAAAGGTTAGTGGATAACCATAAAAATTAAAAAAACTTTTTAAAACCACATTTTGCACAGTTATTTTATTTTTACAACAAAGTAATACAATGCATATATTCAATATGTAATATAGTCCATAAAACAGTTGTTGTTACTTTCAGTTTTTCACCCATACATTTGTCTTAACATTGTAAGTGATGATATATTCTCTACTCATGTAGCTGGAAACATCAACCCAGCCCTCTGTAGACTTCCAAGAAATTCCAGCACCACCTCTCTCATCAGATGGCATTCCTTCAGATTATGAAGCAGCCCAAAGCTTTCAGAGCAGAAAAATCACTGATGGGGAGCTGACTGATGACAAAGAGGAGATCACTCAAACTTCTTTTACAAAGAGCATTGCCTTGTCTTTAGAAAGTTTTACCAAAGTCTTTGTTGAGAAGGTAATTCCTTTAACTTTATTTAAATAAACATTTAATATAACTTAGCATAACTTGCTATTCAAGTTTTGGTGTATGTTATTGTCAAGTACCTAAATAGCTGTGATAAAGACCTGCTACTGATTGGTTGTTTCAGCTGCCCCCATCAGTTCAGACTTTCCTGGAGATGGAGCCCCTTGGTTTGTCCCCTAACATGACTGTGCTGGTGACCATCTTTACCCTGGTTTCACTGGTCATTGTCAGCCTTACATCCAGCTGCTCATCTGTAAGTTGCACTTAGAGGCAGTACAAATTTGTGAATGTTTTTTCACATGGTACATACATAGATCATTTTTAAAAATTAAGTTTTATTCTGTATTCAGACAAAATATTTGCATATATTCAAAATAGCTTTGAGTTGTTTTTTTTTTTTTAATTTTTATATAAAATTTTTATTTTTCCAGCGAGGGAAAAAACACAAGCTTAGAGATACATTGGGTGAGTTATTTCCCTTTATTATTAATGCACACATTCTTTGTGCAGACCTGCTCGTAATATTTATTTAGAATAAATAAATAAATAAGTTTTAATAATTTTTGTTGTTGTGTTCTATTCTAAATTAACAAATAAAATGTGATGAATTAACAGTGATTTATCTTATTGAATAATTATACATTTTCAAATAAATTTGACCAGAGGTCATTCAAGATCTTGAAGCCAAACTCCAGCTTGCCATTAAAGAGAAGGAAAACATTGAAGATTCAATCAAAGAAAGTAAAACTGAGGTCAGTAATTATCAGAGCTGAATATATTGTGTTTAAATAGCTAAGGTAACTCACTAGCTTAGACCTGAGATCAGGGGAGATGACCACAGTGGCAGTCTGTGCTAAAACTTTGTCTGTGTTGAAACTTTTTGTCAACAGAAAATTTTACTTAAATATCTTCATTAATTAACATTCTTAAAGACTAAAATTAATTTAAATGTTATAAACTTACTTTTAATTTTTAAAATGAGATGTTTGCAACTATACTCATTTTTTTTTCTGTAGAATTTAAAGTTGAAGGAAGAACTGACAAAGCATAAAAAAGACTCAGGAAAAAGTAGCAGTGATTTTCATGCCCTTCAGGTATGGGTACATTGTCTATGTTGGTCACATTGTCTGTGTTGATCAAGTTTTAGATAGACATTCCACCACATGCTAGACATAAACTCACAAACTAGAGTTGTCTTGACATACAGTACCACAGATTCTGTTGTGTGTAATTGCTAAAATGTTGTTCTTTTAAAAAATATAGTTGAAATTCCATTTGTGAATATTTCTTTAAAATGTAAACATATCTTTCATTTTAAATGAACACTCTCTCTTCATTTTACTATTATTTTAACAATTATTATTGTTACATAAAGTGAAGAAAATTCTTTATGTTTTTATATTAAGTGCAGATAGTGGAATAACCTTTTCTTGAGCTCAAACCAAATTTATGTCAATATGTACACTAAACTTTATTGTAAACATAACTATTTTTAAAAATTTCAGTCTGAAAATGAAGCTTTAGTAAAACAAATAGCAATGTATGAATCTGAAATCCAAAAATTAAATATTAATGCCAATTCAAAGCAAGGGGAAGCTAAACAAACCAGTAAAAAGGTCAGTGCACCGAGCATTTATTTTTTATTCATTATTCATTCAACTTGTTGGTATATTTTCATCTTACTTTATAATTGATAGCCAATTTCAAATGGTTTCTGATCAAGTGCAGAATGTATATTATAAATTCTATTTTTCTTGTTCAGGCTAAAGAATTAGAGAAGCAAATAAAAAAGATGGAAGAAAGAGAAAAGAAACTTGAACAGGAGAATAGTAAGGTGAGATGGGGAAAGAATTAAAAGCTAAACCGGTATTGTTTCTAATTTATCCCCCAGGAAACTGTCACTGATACATTTTCTTTGTGTTTAGTTTATGCTAGAAATAAGACACAAAGATGAAGAGATAACAACCCTCATGACAAAATTGAACAGTCTGACTGAACAGACAGGGCACCTGCAGACTAGCAAAGACCAGGTGTGTAGCTTAAATCTCATTCATTTGTCTATTTTGTGTCATGTTACATGTAGTTATTGAGAAATCAACAGATTGTATCTCAGAGATCTTTACTACTTAGCGTATAAAATTTGTGTTTGCTTACTCCTGTTTGCATTTTGTTTTACACAGTAATGTGACTTATTGTTTACTGTCTATTACAGCTCTTGGCTGAAGCTGAGGATTGGAAGGAAAAGTAAGTCATAGAAATATCAGATTGCTAGTTTTCTAGCTAAACAATTTAAAAACAATTCTTAGCACTTACCGCTGCTGCAGGATTTAACAAAAGAAATATTTTCTGCAGAGTTATAGATTTAAAAGAAAGACTGGACCAGAGAGAAGAAGAGTTTAAACAGATGCAAGAGACAATTAGTTTTAAAGAAAATGAGATGGAGGCAAGTTCTTAATTTTTCATTTAGCGTTTTATTTCATTAGGAACAACTAGACCTTCTGATTTAGTCTTAAGTCAGATATGTTTTGTGTGTAGGTTTTAAAAGATTGTTTTCTGCAACTGAAGTCATTTGAAGAGGAGGAGGCTGAAGGCGATGATGGAGGTAAGTTTTACACTTAATGTTTACACTTGTCATTTTACAGTTGTTGTTTAATCACTTGTATTTGTTTGTGTTCATTTTACTTTTACCTAACAGCAATTGTGATTTTTTAACAATTTTTCTTGGGCCACCAGAAAATAATAATGAACGTGTGCTAGAGAAGGTTAAAGCAATGATGGATGTGTCTAAAGTGAATGCTGCCCTGAGAGCTATAGAAGAAGAGAAGGATGTCTTAGCCAACAGACTGCAGATTGAATCAGAAGCTAGAAAAGAGCTTGAAGGCAAGCATATTTTTATACATTCTTTTTTTTATATGCATGCATACAGCTAGAGAAATGACATGTCATTTGTAGCATACATTTTAATACAGAAATTACATGTTGTTTTATAGCCTACATTTGTTGAGAAAAATAACGTCATTTTGTCTTGTCCAGAGCAACTTGAGAACTCAAGACGCAGTGTTGAAACAAGCATGGCAGACAAAATGAAGGCAGAAAGACAATGTCAAGAAGCTCAGACCAAACTCAATGTTTTGTCAACATACTTCAAAGAAAAGGAAATGCAATTACAAAGGTTTGCAGTGACCTTAAATACAAACTTGCTGGTTTTTTAAAAATAAAAGTATTACTTATAGCTTTAAACTGCATGTGTGTAAGCAAATAAAAGAATATACTGTTTGAATAATTAAACTGTATGTGTGAAATTCGTTTTTAAGCTATTAATATTTGCAACACTTTAAATAAATGTATGAAAATGAGTGAGTGATGATAAACTATCTCACCAGAGAGCTGGGTGAGCAGGAAGCCTTAAAAAAACAGAACCTGCATAAATTGGTGTCAGCAGATGAAACCACCCGGTCCATTCAGCAAGAAATGGAGTTAATAAGGTTTGTTTATGAATAGAGCAAAACAAATACATACATTTTTAAAATATCTTTGTAACATTTTAAAATAATTTTACTTTAATTAATAAGTAATAATCAGAGAATATAGCATTTTTGTTGTGAACAAAGTTTTTATTCAACCACATAGACAGTTGGCACATTCATTTGTTTACATGCACATATGTTTCCACAATAGAACTCAAAATGAGAGTTTGAAAAGAGAACTGACATCTTCAGAGAGGGACTTCCGTTCACAGGTATTGTTTTAAGCATAGGCTGGTAGCAGCTTCCATAATATTATTTTTATAGAAGCAATGACTACATTAATTAAGTAGTTTCTTTGTTAAATTTCATACACAATTTTGTGGTCAACAGATAGCAGCAAATGAGAAAAAAGCCCATGAAAACTGGGTAAGTATTCATGTTCTTAGTTACTCCTTACCTTGTCACCGTCTTTTATAATTACTAAAGTATTGACGTTTTTAATTTTAAGGGCTTTGACTTTAATAAAAATGGTCTACTATTATTAGTTTTCAACTGTACTTAACCTTAGGGCCTGTTCTGTTATTACTGAACTGTCTTTCAGTTATCAGCTAGAGCGGCAGAAAGAGAATTAAAAGAGGCCAGACATGAGGCTGGTGTTTTGAGACAAAAGTAGGTACTCACTAGCAGCTCCTGCTTATAGTACTGTAGGTGATACAACACAGCATTTTTAACATTTCATGGCATTATTATTAACTGTTATTAAGAATGAAGTTTGATTTGGGAAATAAGAGATTTTCTAATCATTAGACTAACAGACATTGAAAGACGGCAATTCATGGGTCCAGGCGGATTGATTCGACCATTACCAACTAGAGGATTACCTCCCCCAGGTAGAGGCCATTCTGTGCAATTGTTGATTTGTTTAATTCATTTGTCAACAAACATCAATAAATGTATTTGTTTACAAAATTTTCCTGTAGGAATGATGAATGGACCACCACCTCCTGGTATGGACAGATCACCATCTAGAGGCTCTATGCCCCCACTGCCCCCTCCACATTTGAGGTACTTACAACATCTGATTAGTGAAGGACATGTATTAAGTTAAAATTATTAGTGGTTGTAGGTTTTTTGTAAAAACTTGTTTTATTATGGATGAGAATTAGAAAAAAATCTGTATTATTCTAATCTTTGTGAATAGTTTGCTAAAAATTAATCTTCAACTAAAGTACTCGTTTGGACCTAGCAGTTTATGGTGCAGTTGAAGAATAGTTCACCTGTTTCATTGACCTCTGCATATAAAAGGATAATGTGGTTAGCACTATGCCCAGAGAGTTAGCAGTTGAATACTATACCATTAGACCACACTTTCCTAATCTTCAAATAGTTGCATATTATTCTAATTAACAGGGATGAAGACTTTTTAAATACATCAAGAGAAAGAATACCCATTTCTCCAATGGACCTTCGAAGAGGACCTCTGCCCCCTCCAGGCATGCGACCCCCTCCTCCAGAAGCTCGTTCACCACCTCTGCCTCGCCTTCCTCTATTCGGAGATGCACGCTCACCACCACCTCGAATGCCTCCACCTCCCATGCTAGAGGGAAGATCCCCCCCTCCATATGATCGTAGACCCCCACCTCACATGTTAGACAGACGTAGTCCACCATTCCGACACCCTCATCCAGATATGCTTCCCCCACCCATGAGAGGGCCCCCACCACCACATTATGGCAGAGGAGGATCACCCTCTTCAGGCACAGACTCTCCTCATTTAGACAGACCAGGTAAGGTTTTTAAATTTAAAATTTTAAGGGAAATTTGAAGTCTGGCAAGTGGTGGAATTAGATAAATGATCTGTGTATTTTAGACTACACATATTTTACATTAAATTTAAATCTATAACATAAATTTAGTAATGAAAATAATTTTTTGAAAATTTTTGCTGTGTTTATTTTGTGCAACCCAATCGTTAGGTTTTTTGATGAATGAACCATGTTTTCATACTGTCACTAGATGGGAGATATCCACCACCATATGCCAGGAACAATCCACCATTTCCCCCAGACAGGCCTTCACCTAGACAAAGTGGACAGCCAAGACAACAACAAAGTCAAGTTTAACCAAACCATTTTAGAGTTTAGTGTTACATATTCATTTCCAAGTATAAAACCACAAACCAAAAAAACTAGTAAAATACAAAGTTTAGGTGAACAAAGATTCAATCATCCATTGAAGCCTGTTCAACGTTACACAAAATCACAGTGAAGTCACTGTTAAAAATGTTTTACCGGCCCCATGTTCCACAGTTGAAAACAGCTGCTTATTCATGGTATATTACCACATGTTGTATATATTTCTTCCTTGAATGAATTGAATGCTTGTAGCAGGTGCCTGGGGTTTCAAATGATTCAGATTTAATTTATTTTTGTGTGTGTAATAAGTGTTTGACCACAGTATTTCATTTTGCTACATTAGTCAGTTTCAATCTAATTGATAATTAAAGTCAAAGTTTTCTACATTTTCAAGCATATTTAATTTTCAAAAGTGGAATTATTTAATTAACATTTTCTTCCATTGTCATAATTTGATTTACTCAAGCATGAACATGTGTTACAATGATTTTGAGTTAAAAAAGCAATTTAAAAAAAAATTAAAGTCTTCTATATATTCTTTTGACATAATAAATTTAGAAATAGTATAAATAATATATTCACACATGGAACCTGTGTTGAGCTGATAAGATGAAGTATTGCTTTTTTTTTTTTTTAAATACCTTGGTGAAGTTTGTTTCTTTTAGTACTGGGTATTGGTGTAGCATTTTTTTTAAATGACACCTTAATTATACTTAGGATCTCATTTAGAATTTAATTAGTCATTCATTTCATTTTGAAGATATCCATTCTATTTGTTGTTAATGTTTAATTGTTATAACTTTTGAAAAACTAGTCAGTAATAGCTTCATGAATTATGAATAAATGTAGACTTAAAGCAATGCAAGCACATTTATTTTGCTCTTTGATTTGATTGCAACAACCCGATAGCAATATTTCTGCCCTTGACTACAAAATTAGCTTCTGGATTTGTTGTAGATTTTTTAATAAACTTTTTGTTGAATGTTTTTGAAGGTAGACTGTTCAACATAAATAAATGTTAACCATTGTTTTACATCATTTTACTTGCATTGTATGAATTTTTGTTTCTTAATTGTAATATTTTGTTGAAGTGATTTTAACAAAGCCAAACAATCTTGAAGAGAAATGTGAAATGATTTTATGTAAATTTGGTAACTGTATGTGTGAATGAAAATAAACAATTGCCACTTTGGATTTTTGTTTTGTTATAGATCTTAATAGTAAAATTTAAACAAAATAACTAAACATTTAAATAAAGAATTATCAAATATACAATGGAACAATTGATGTTTAAGGCATTCATTGGCCATCAATGTTAAGAAAAAAAGAAAGATATCTGAAACTGCACATTTTTTATTTGAAAAAAATGATCATAAAATTATACAATATATTCTGTTAGCATTTCCCACTTTGCTGTACAAACAATTATTGCAAGAGACTCCTGAGCATTTCTAACATAGTAACAATGTCCTAAAGTAAATTGCTTGGTGCATAGTGTGAGGTTGTTTTGCTGGTACTACAAGACAAATGAGCTGTTTGTTTTCAGACCTTCATGATTCATATGTGACAGGTCTGGGCTGATTGGCTCTTCCCAAAAGCACATGGCCTGCATGGCTGATTGACAGGAAGATTATTTACTTAAATTCAGATTGATCTTGAAAAAATAAGTACTACTCTGTGCACATTTAAATAAATCACACATTTTTTCCATTCAACAAAAAAGTTTCTTTTGGCTGGCTGGCTTGCATTTAGGCTACAGACATTTGTGGCTTTTTAGCAATGGTTTGCTGAAATGGGCAAAATATTTTTTCAGTCTGGTGTGTAAGCTCAGCAGGGTTTAGGTTACATAGGCTCTGTTTAAAACAATGATCTGTTGATTGTCTTCATCAGTATAGACATCTAGCAGCAGCATAAAGTGACAGTTTGATAGTGCCACAGAAGTCTCTGTCAGAATGGTGACCTCATCCTGTGTTAGCTGGCGCTGGCCACATCTGACCAGGCCAAGATCAGAGTCATACACCCCAGAGAGAAAGTCACACAAGTTCTCTACCTTGCTGCCATTTTGTATTGCTACAGGCTTGATCGTGTTTAGGGTGATAACACTGTTAATACCTTCCCATTTCACAACAAGTGCAGTCATCGGTTCTTTAACTGAAATTATTAACAGAAATAAACTATGCCTAAAAATTGAATTGGGATATCATATAAAAGTCAAAAATATATTTCATCTTTTAAAATGAAATTGGCTATAGGTAAACAATTGATTTTTTTTACCCTTTCCAACAGGCCAAATTTGAGAGATACATTGGGGGTATGTGGATCCCAAACTGTTTTCTTGTTGATCTTCAGAGTTGAAACTATTAGAATGTATACGTTTTCTGAAAGATTAATAAGAAAATAACATTTTTCTATAATTTTTATCCTCAACAGAAGAAAACAGATACATGTAAAAAAAAAAACAAAGATAAATAGTTAAATAGTTGTAAAAAAAATGACAGTTGTAAAACCAATATATAAACAAAGTGGACTCATTATCAAACAACTTATGAAAACAACAGGTTACCTGGAGCAAGAAAATCTCCTGTCATCTGCCATATTTTCATAGGACATAGAAACAAAGAGAGCATTAACTACTAGCTGCTGGCACTGTTGCCACACCATTTTGTCAAACAGTGGTTTCCATTGACGACTTACAGTGGTCTAGTGGGAGGAGCAAGGACAATAAATTACATGCATTTAATTGATATTAACCAAACTAAGGTAAAATGAAACAGTAAAGATACAATAAACTTTTCCACAGAAAATAAACTTTTAAAGTCTTCCACAAAGAAAAAATACAACTTAGTACTATCTATTACTTATAGATTCCTATCAATTTTAGCAAACAAAAAAGGCAACACAAAATATATTTTCCTAACTTTTATGAACTCACCATTTCTAGCAAAGTGTCTCTCAGTCTTCCCAGCTGACTGAACCTGCTGGCAAAAGGTGGATACCTGAAGATTCCACCTACCAGGTAGAGCTGGTCTTCAGGTAAAGAACACTTGGAAATGTGGGACCTTGCAAGTTCTTTTAAAGGCTTGGGAATTTTCTCAATTTCTGAGGGCTCGAGTGAATAAAGCTTGAACAGGAAGTTGAAACTTTTTTTTAAGTTTTAAAATTTATTATCATAAAAAAAAATTTCATTTTTTATAATCAACAACAAATGGAGAGTTAAAAAACAGTTCTAATTTGTTAAATCATCTAAAGAAAAAAGTTGAAAAAAATTGGTTTAGCTACTGGTGAATTCTTATCTACATTGTAGATCATAGTCTAATAAGTTGTTAGTGTAGGCCTACCCAAGAATTGGTAGTGGTTGTCAACCATCCATAGCGCTTCCCTCTGGAACTCTGTATATCATCCAACTGCTGTTTGGTGAGCATGTGACGAAATAAAAACTGCTGACTAGGTTTTAGGGTGAAAAATACTTCTTTCTGAAATTTTAAATAAAGTGTGTATAAAATAATTGCTGCAAAAAAAAAAAAAGGAATTTTAAAAAGTGAGCACAACAATGTTAAATAGGATAATTCCTGTTAAACATGAGTGGACTATAAGTGGACGTTTATTCATTACCTGATTCCCTGCATAGACTAAAATTATCATTGGCTCGTCCAGTGAATAGTCTTTTACATGGATCCATCGTCGGTAAAAAAATCCTCCGCTGTCTTCAAGGCTACTAGATGAACCTACAGTAAAAAATTTAAAAAATCAAAACTATTTTTAATAAAAGAAATAGTTTTCTTTAAATTTTGGCACAAACAGATTAAATAATTAAAATAAAATAGTAGATGAAACTAGCATTACCTTTCATTCTTTCCCTTTCTACTTGTCCCACAAACGTGATATAACCAGCTACATCGACTATAGACAGGTCTGGCACAGACCTGTGGATTAGGTATGACATTAACTAGAAAACCTTATAGAAGGTGAGTTAGGAACACATCTGAAATAGCATGACATTAACTAGAAAAACCTTATAGAAGGTGAGTTAAAGTATGTTTGCAGTTATTGTTTAAAACAATTTTAGCCTTACAAAAGTATTTTATTGTAGAAATAATTTAGGCAGTTGAAGTAAGATAACAATTTAAAAAGTCAAAACCTTCATGCATCAATAGAAAATGACAAAGAAAAAATGTTTTTGTTACACACAGAAGGTCTTTTCTAGTCATCAAACAGCTTTCTAAGGGTGGAAAATTCAATCTATCTTCTTCATCTTCTGTCAGTTTATTTACAATGAGCACATGAGAGGTTGGGTTGTTGACATCAAGGCTCAGTTCAAAGTTGTAGCAAGTGGCACTCCTGGGCGGAGCTACAAATGTTTTCATTTTCACCTGTCTACTACTTTTGATATGGAAATTTTTCAGCAACAAAACTGTACCTTCCTGTAGGCTGCAATAAAAAAAAAAGGTTCAATGCTAGTCTTAGCTTCTGCAAAACACTGACTAAATATTACTCAAACTGTCAGTTTAGACTTAAAAAACACAAATCATTTAAGATTTGTAGTTGTAATGGCAGTAGTTAGTAGTTAAATTTACCGACAACAGTTTGGTTGGAAATTTTGGTATTACTGACATTTCAGCTAGATAATTAAAAATAAAAATAAAATAAGAAAAGTTACAGTTGTATAATGTTTTTTGATACTTTTAATAATGAGCTTTTTAAAATGTTCTAATTGCAAATAATTGCATTAACTAACTTGAACTAAAGAGTTGTGTTGAAGGTGTACAAGATTCTCACTGGTTCAGTAGCTGTAATCCTAAGCTGCTCCATAGGACAGCTGGGCACCATGCAGACTTGTCAGCCACCATTAGTGGAACCTTAACACACAAGGATGGAACAATGCAATGATAGACCAGTATGTAATGCAATCATAAACAAGTGGGCTATATAAGGGAAACTTAATATTAAGGACAAACCAAATCAATGATAGAAAAATGCAATTATAAAGTAGGGAGTAGGCCTATTTCTTGTTGGTCAACATGGGCATATTATAACAATATAAAATTCCAGAACTAGCAGAATTAAATTGCTGCATGACATCATTTATTTAATGTAGACTAAGTAGTAATGGTCACAAAATTCCTTGGCTAAACTTTGCCACAGTATCACTTGGCATACAATAGCCAACTAATCATGTGAACTCTACTTTACCTGGTCTACCTATGCATGAGGTTAAGCCCAGCTGTTAGGCACTGTATAATTATTTATTGTTATGAAGTTCCATACAACTGACCTGGAAAGGCCACTTGTCATCAGTGGTCATGAAAGAGACTAGCTTGGACCTCCTCATGACTTGAACAAGCAGCTGAGGCTGGGAGTACTGGGAAACTTTTTTTGTCATGACATCCTTGATGGTAGAGATTTCTCTCAGGTTGACATCAGCCAGATTACAGCGCTTCACTGGGAAAATATGCGGGAATGTTTGGTCAAGAAAATCATTTACATTAGTTACAAACTCAAGTACATGGTCTTAATTACCATTTATAATCCATTTATAATACTATCTTGTTAGGCTTATATCTTAACGTGTAAAGGCTATAAATAACCCATCATAAATAGAGATAACAGATTAGAGAGATGTAATGAACACCTAAAAATAATTGTTTGAAATAATCACGCTAGAATAGTATATCTAAATAATAGTGCTGGTAGAAATGAGGCAGCCTCATTGTCACACAGTCGGCACATCATAGGCCACCCACAAAATACCTGTAGTAGATAAGTGGTGGTTTGTGTTATAGGGACAAGTGTAGCAAGTGTCATGAAAATGTAACGAAAAACTTATTTACTTACAAGTGCTTACAATAATTGAGGGCAAATAACTATGTCCATTAAAAAATGGTTATCAGAAAATAAATGGGAAAATTTTAAGGGTAAATGTATAGTATTGAAAGCATTCTAAATTTCAGGGAAATACCAGTTTTTCAAAAACAATAAACATTTTCAGCATAAAATGAACATCTCTGTTGATTGATAGTGGTAAGTCTTAAAAAGTAAAGTTAATATGTTTTAGTCAATTAATATTTTTTACTGAATAATTTAGTGCCTGTGACTGCATTACTTACCATCTGAGACCTGAAGTTTTTCAAAGTTTATACTATAGGTCGAAAGGTCAGCATAGTAGAGTTTGTTGGAAATCAGCGGGATATTTTCCTTTTGCCGCAAATAACTATCTGGGGTCCACTGCAGTTTATCAAGATCTGTGGGATAGTAGAATAAAATTTACTACCAAAACAAATTATCAAAAAAAAAAGCAATTTATGAGCAAATATCCTACAATTATTTCATGAAGTTCATATATTCAACCATACATCACAACCCTAACCTTGAGGATAACTTTAACGTGTTTAAAATGATTAATTGTCTATATTTAGTAAAATAAATTTATGGGTCACAAATTATAAAATCATATGTTGATAACTGCTGTAGAAATAGAGCTCATTATTACTAGAAAAATAATAGTTAATGCAAGAGCTGCTTGGTAAATAAGTTTCTGGTAGTTAAAAATATCCCCACCCCCCAATTAACAATGGCACATAAGTTTAATTAGCTTAGCCCTTAAAATATTGGACAACTAGCTAATATATTTAAAAATCTAAAAGAAAATAGGATTTAAAATTCAGTTACAAGTGATGAGTTTTCCTATGCTACTTTTAACTTTGCCATTTCAGAAAAAAAAATAAAAGCAATAAAAGCAGTACTTAACCAATGCTGTCCTCCAGCTGGTTCTGGACCACCTCCAACTGTTGGATGACAATTACATCTGGACTTTCACTGATGCTCTCAAACTTAATAATCCTGACATGACTACCAGGATTTATCTGCAATGGTATCAACAATTTGAGAGATAAGTCAGTCTGTAGTAAGATTAACTCTATATCTACTCTACATCCATTTACTGAGGTAGGTCAGTCTGAAGTTAGATATAAGAGCTCATGTAGAGGGGATGGAAGCAGGAGTTGTTACTGAGATAGCAATGTAAACAGAAAGTGATATTTCCATGCCAAAGGTACTTGGCGTTGAAATATCATTTTCTGTTTAGATTGATATAAGAGCTCTCAACGTGTTCTTCAGCTGCTTCATCAGTTTCTGTTTGAGAACAGATATTCACATGGGTTGTAAAACTTTTAATTTCTTGCAGTGGGTCTACAACTGTCACAAACTCTATCTAGGCTGCTGTATATATATGTATTTATACATTCATTATTCATACAATTGAACGGCAAACAGCTTGAGATAAAAATAAAGTAAAAGCACTGTACATTGTATTTAACTCTAACATCAGCTGTTAGAACAAACTTTCGCTTTAAATTGCCATCCGTCAGTACTACATCATACACGTCGCAATATTTGCTGTCATCAATCTTGTACTGATTTCGGTAGCGCTTTTCGGGATAATATCTCAGCAGCTCAATGACCTGCAAATAAGAAATAAAAAAATAAACAACTGTTCACATAAAAACATAGCTTACTAGAGTGTATTATTTTCTACTGCCACAACGTGGGTGTCATTAGTTGGAAGAGGATTATATTAACAAAATTATGCCAAATGAGCAACTGTTTAAAAAGACATCAGACACACACTGATAGGCCTATGTATTAGCCTATCCATTGCTTGCAGCTGCGATCAGAGATCAGAAGGACGCATTATTAATTTATTTACAAGGGTTTCATCTATGTGTTACTAATCATGTATTTTTAGTCATGTGACCTTGTTTTCTAAAATGGATTTATTTAAATCTAAAACAAGGCCTTTGTTTTATTTCTTGAATCATAGTTTTTGGAGAGCAGGTTTGCTCACACTACGGCAGTGAGTTTAGGTTAATCACCCTCTGTAATAGAACATCCCGAGTCTGCCCAGGTGTCCGTGGGGTGCTCTATGACCATTGACACCAGGTGCGTCCCCTGGTTTAATTTAGTCATCAATTGTAGTAAACCCCCATATCCCTAGAGTAGGGTATAAAACAAATGTAGGTGTCATAGTGCATGGGAGCCCAGGGTGCTCTAGGTCACACAACTGCCAGGGTGCTAACAGATGCATCTGGTTTAATTTAGTCAATAATGTTAGCACAAGGTGCCAAAAGGATCACATGGGATCCAGAGGAGCTCAAAATCACACAACATCCGGGGTGCTGGCGGACATGTTTGGTTTTATTTGGTCAACAATTATAGTAGCCCATCATTTCTATAGTGTATGCCTTAATATATACCTAAGGGCAACATAATTATAGCACCTTGTCTCTAGAAGGTTAAAAATGTATGGAAAAATATGACTACTTCTAGACAAGAAGCCAACACACCAGTGTGTGCTGCTGAATATCTGTATTCTGTGTACAACATGATTATGTGTGGACTGCAGGAAGCAGACAAGTGTAAAAAATTCAGCCTGCCAACAGTGACCATGGGGATAAGGGTGAACATAATTAACTCATGGAAGTTACCACTTGCTATAAACAGATTATAGTAAAGTTCCCTTTCAAGCCTAATGGTCTATGGGGCAAGAGAAGTAGAGTTCACCATGGCATATGAAGAGATAGTGTGAGTTAGGGACCCATCTAATGACTTGAAACCGGATTTGAACTTGAGACTTTTGTTAAGCAGTCCAGTGTTTAACCGCTAGACCATGCAGTCCCCTCATAAATGGGTTACAGAATCTAGATATAGTTTTGGTACATCAATCCTGTGACTTGGTTTTTTTTTTAAAATAGCTTGTCTGGGTAGGCCTAGTATTTTTAATTTTTATTTGATGAATATGTTTTTTGTCTATAATGTAACAGACCTGAGCCTGAGTAGGTATTTCAGATTAATAATAAAATTTATTTGCTGTACAGTTATTTTTTATGAAAAACAAAGGAATATCAATTAATAGTGTAGTAACTTATGAATACTTTTATCTTTTTGAAAACATAGGATCCCACCGAAAAGAAATAATTTACATTTTACACATAGGCCTACTACTCTAATTAACGAGGTAGATCTAGAATCTAGATCTAGTAGAGTAGAAGTTGTAGTAGATCCCTTCAGATTTGTGTGTAGTACTAGATCTTGACGAAATATTATGCGTGGGGCGTCAAAATGGCCAATGACAAAACGGCCCCATCAAAACGACCCCGCCAAAAGGGCCAGCGACATATGGACCCCGTCATATAGGCTCCTGACAAATAGGCTCCCGTCATTTAGGCTACAGACAAATAGGCTCCCGTTATATAGGCTCCCGACAAAAGGGCTCCAGTCAATAAGGCTCCTGACAAATAGGCTCCCATCATTTTGGCTCCTGACATATAGGCTCCCGTCATTTAGTTTTTTCCACATAACGGCCCCCGTCATTACGACTCCCGACAAATAGGCTCCCGCCATTTAGTTTCTCCACAAAACAGCCCCCGTCATTACGACTCCCTACAAACAGGCTAGCTTCATTTTGGCTCACGACAAAAAGGCTCCTGTCAATTTGGCTCCAGACAAAAGGACCACTGACAATACTGTTTCGGTAGAGACTAAGTCTCCCGGCAAAGCGGTCTCATTGAATATGACACCTGCCAGTGGGACCCCTTCATCAATATTCTTTAGAGTTAGCTTATCCAACACTCTTATGTAATACAACGTATGTATATCTTGTTCCCCAGGCCTTATTTTTATATTAGTTCATCTATTATAAAATATAGTATGTTTTAATTTAAGGGTCATCTATCTATGACTTCCGTAATTGAGTTGGTTATAGGCTGTTCCAGCTAAGTGTGTGGGGAGAAGGGTCCACGCTGTACCTTCCTACCTGCAGTATGCTTGTAGGTTATCAAAACAAAATGCTGTTATCATGTAAACATCATGTATATCATACATTTACACTTCTGTGCTCGCTTTTTAGCAACAGATCTTTTCTGTTGTAAATTAAACATTATCAAAACTTTAGAATTGGTGGAATTTAGCTGTTAAGGGCTCGATTTGTTTGTGAATTAATGTTGGTTCATGAAAAACAATTTCATTCGGGCATTTAAAAGAGTTTATAGTGGTATTGGAGGTAGGACAAAATGGTTACTTTTTTATGCCAATAATGGTCATGCCATTCATTGGTCTGGAGCCAATATGTCGGGAGTCATTTTGTCAAAAGCCAATATTTCGGGAGCCCAATTGCGGGAGCCAAAATGTGGTATCCCATATGTCGCAAGTCAATATGATGGGAGCCCACTTGACGGGAGCCAATAAGTCGGGGCCCTTTTGACGGGGCTATTTTGACTGGGTCATTTTGTCGGGGGTCGATTTGACGGGGTCAAATTAACGGGGCCATTTTGACGGGGCCAATTTGTTCTGGGCCGTTTTGACAGGGCACCAATATTATGATATAGATCTAGATCTAGTAATCTAGTAGAAGTAGTCTAGTAGAGCTTGGTAATGACAAGAAATGAGTAAACGATCATTTTAGGATCGTAAAATTGGCCAAAGCTAGTAATGTGAAAGAAAGGTGGCTAATAATAAGGGTTTAATTTGTGATATATTTGTGTCCAATGTAATAGATAATTAAACAATAAAGCAAACGCACTGTCTAAATATTATAAGTTTTGCAAGATTTGCTATAAATAGTAGCCATCTGTAAATTCGAGTGATTTCCCCTGCAATTCTTCTAGCTATAATAATTTACCACCAAAAAAAAAATAATTAAAAAGATGGCTGCTAAGTTGACAAGCTTAGTTGCATCTGATAAAAACATGGATCAGTAATCCAATTTATTAGGCTACTGAAACGTTTTAATACAATTGTTTAAAAACAGGTAGATTCTACATGTACTACATGAAACATTTTGGGCGGGTATATTTTTTATTACTAGATCTAGTGTCCAATAATAGAATCTTCTTAAAATGAGTACTGTTAGGCATTAGGTTACTCATACTGCTGGTAGACAATCTACTACAGTCTACAGTACTAGTAACTAGAATCTAGTACTTAGACTCTAGACCTAAAAATTAAAAATACATTTGGCTTGCTAATGAGTACTAGCTAGATCTACTAGCTAGATCTAGACTAGTCCTAACACAATGATCTATCATGCTTTTTATTTTACAAGTCACGCCCTTTGACTACATATGCAAATTTATTTTATGACAAAATAACAATCTTAGATAATCTATCGTTTTAGGTACGTAAAATCGCCCGCAGCTAGTAATGTACGAAAAAGTTACCTCATTGTCAAGGCTTTAAATAGAAGTATATTATATTGTGTTATATTTGTGTCAAATATTATAGATAAATGGGATGATTTTAGATACCGGTGTCCGATAATAGACTCTTCCATAAAATAGGTGTGTTGGGTTGTTAGTTGAATTGTAATCTCGACTAATTTGATGATTAGAAATTAGGGTTAGGCGTATGGTAGGACCAGGGTTGGGGTTAGGGACAGGGTTAGCATTGACTTTAGCCAGCCATGTGTGTATTTAGTTAACTTATAACTAACTACCAGTAACCTAACACCCCTTTTATAAAGAAGATTCCATTATTATCGGACACCGGTATAAAATAAAAAGGTAATCTATCGTTTTGGGTACGTAAACTAAATCAAACTAAATCTAGATCTAGATCTAGCTAGATCTAGATATAGATAAAAATGTACACCAACTTGCAGTATCCGCGAATTTGTTAATATTTCCATTGTTGTTTTTAAGGCTTATTTTTTAAACTGCTAGCCTAGTCTTACGTGTTTTTTAATATCTCATCTCTATTGTACGATTTTAGTAAAAACTCGCAATTTTGATTTTTTTTAACAGTAACAATAAAAACGTTCTTTTATTGTGGCTTTAAATTTACTTTAAAAGAATGTGCAAAAATTTCGATTTAACTAAAAACTTAAAAATATTATTTAAAAAATAATATAGGGCCTAGAAAGAATCTATTTTATAGATCTATAGATTTTTAGACACATAGGCCTAGAATCTAAGGAATTTATTTAGGCATAGGCCTACATACTACATTACATACCTACTATTAAAAATTAAATCATAGGTTAGGCCTATAGGTTTAACTAATAAACTATTAAATAAGCCATTCACACTTTACTCCAGATCATTTTTAAAATTAGGCGTAGGCCAATATTACTTAGTATTAATGTTAAATTTACACAAATTTACAGTATAGTTCCAATAAGTGTTTTTGTCAGACATTTTTCTACGGGTGGGGGGGGGGGGGGGGCAGGGGTAGGACCTTGTGAAACTTCCTAGCATAGTTTCTTCCAGGCATCTCTTCGGGGTGGGGGGGGGTCTGTGCCCCCTCGAAGATAGTCTACCCCCCCCTGAACGAAATGGTAAATAGAAATCATATACGTTTACCAGTGTCCGCCCCCCCCCCCCCCCCAAAAAAAAAAATGAAAATATCATTAAAATGCCAGTTGCCGCATTTGACACCACAATTTTGTGAAAAAATAAGTACAAGGAAAAATCTGTAAAAATAAAAGTTATTAGGTAGGCAGTCGACTAAACGCCAATACAAGCTAGTCATATGAAAGAGGGTAATCCGTTAACAGAGTTTCTTCGAACAAAGTCTACCCCCCCCCCCCCAACGAAATGAAATTTATATAGAAAATATATACTTTTAACAGTGTCCGCCCACCTCCCCCCCCCCCCCGGAGAAAAAGTCTGGAAGTAACACTGTCCGTTAATTCCGTCACGCTATTAGAAGATTTTGACTATACTATAAGGTATTACATAACATAAATTTACACAAAAAATCATTACAAATACCTACATCAACATTATCAGTTACATAAATTAGTTTTAAAACGCAAAGGTATCACTGTTTATAGTGTCACAAAAGTGACAAGATAATCTCATTTGAACATAACATTTGGTTCTGACTTGTAAAGGTTTAATGACTTCGTCGAGAAGGGGTTTCATATAATGTGTCGTAGCATAAATATTGTGTTGGTTTGAAATAAATAAAGTAGGATACAATATTTTGATTTTGCTTAGAATTTTAATTATTATTATTATAGGGAGTAGGCCAAGGCGGAGCTTTTGGGAAGTTACTTGTGATGGTCAGGAAGTCATGAGTGTTCCGACTTTGATTACAGGTATGTGAGTTAAGATGAACGACCCCCTAGCTCCCATGAAGTGTATTAGATTTCGTAGCATTGTTCGCTATTTTTCTCCTTTAAGAGCTTGAAGGTTAATTATATTGGCATATTACACGCATTCTTCATAATCTTTATCATTTTTAAAATAAATAATTGATAAAATCGTTGACTAGATCTATTAATAATTAATATATTTTAATCTGAGGCCTCTAAATTTTTATATATTTGAAATGTTTTAATCAATAAATTATCATTATTCGTTGATCTATTAATATTTAATATTAGACATACGATCAAGTATCATCAAGTTATATTCTTAGTAAAGTATTTTGGCTTGGTTTTAAGATAATTACTAAGTAATTGCATTATATTTTAAGTTTTCTAGACACGGCGCTACCCACTACACTAAAATAAAAATATTTGTGACAGTATGGATTATGGTAATGTATTTAGTTTAATTAACTAAAGCGTTAACATTAGGTCTAGAGTCTTGATCTATAATCTAGATCTATATAGATTTATGTTGTTAATAAATAATAACGTTATTGTTTGGTCAGGGTAAAATTTTATTAGCCTAATCATAGACCCGCCCATAAACAGTAATCCAATGAAACGTCATGTTGTATTTTAGCGAGACGATTTGATTGGCTGAAAATGTAGAAGCTGCACAGTTCGGTGCGACACTAAACAAAGTGAAGTTGGAAGTGTGGACTCACCGCATATCTACTGAGTTCTTATCTTCGAGTATATCTTTTGAGAAATATAAGGTGTGACTTATAAAATTTTATGGATAAAATAATTTATGTGATTCAAGATGTATCATATTTTGAGTGAATAGTTTCTTGAGAATAAAGGGTTTTATCAATAATATTCAATATCCAAATTTCGAAAAGTCGGTCACCATCGAAGTCGAACCGTGGCTGCTCTCGAATTTTATTTGCCTTGGAGTTTAGTGTGTTAATTATTTTGTTATAAAGTTGCTCAAATGATAGAGCTAACAAATATTTAAAATTCTAGATAGTTAAAATATTTCAGTGTGTTCATAAAAGATTGACGCTTATTTATCTAGAAAGGGGAAAAGTCGGTCGAGCTCAATTTGCGATTAAAAGTTTAACAACAGTGACCGAATTTTAAAAATAAATAAATCTACATACAGTAATCTATATTGTGGTTAATTTTGATATCACTAATCTTATAAAACAATTTAAAACAACTTTTTGTAATTATAAGTGTTGTGTTGAAAAATAAACATCACGTTTTTATTGTAAAATAGTTCCGAAATGCGCTCTGATATGACCGTATTTCGTTAACCTTCTGATGTCAAGGCCGTTTTTTCCGGGGCAAAAAAAAAAGGTCACGTGTTTAAATTATATTGAAATAGTCAAAAAAAAACAAAAAAACTAGTGCCTAAGCATGATCAGTGTTTTAACTTCCCTGATTTCAGTTGAAGTAATTTTGCAGAGATAAAACATAGTCTAGATCTATAAATAAAAAAAAAACACTATGCATTTGCTCACACTAATTTACTAATAAATACGCCCAATAATTACTATTATTGTATATACTTAAATATACTATATTAGTCTCGTAGAACCCCAGATTTTTTGGTATTTACTAGACTATTTATTTACTCATATTAGAATAACCAAACTTTCATTTTGTTAAATTAAAAATTAACAGTTATCATTTTCCTCATTTACATTTAGGCTAGGCCTATATTAGTATATTTTGTTTTATCTAGCAATATTTAATTATTTAATAAGTATTATTAACAAAACTTTGCCCTGTAGGCCTACTTACTTACTTACTTTTATTTTGGAGCAAAATCACTTTATTTAATTTACCCTATACTATAGATCAAGATCTATATTGTACTAATTTAGTAGCAAATAAGAAAATGGCTAAAAAACCAACACAATTTTGTATGTCTGATAATAGATCTAATTGGAATTGGTTTAAGCTGCACAATTTTGTCAGGCTTTTTATTCTTTGCATTAAGCTTAAAATTAGATATAGGCCTAATTATAATAAGGGTAGGCCGATATGGTTTATCAACAAAAGCAAACTTATTTATGTTAAACTTTATGGATTTATTGAAAGTAAGCATTACATGCAAACCTGTTCATCATCTTGTTAACTAATAGGGATTTATTGAAAGTGATAATTACAAAGCAATTATAAAATATGCTAAAGGCTTTGATTAAAACATGCCATTTGGAACATTAAACATAGTAGCGATTATTACTTTCTGTTTCTGTTGGAACATTTTACAAATACATACAGTCCAAAGTGCTAGGACACAAATATTAATAATTTTTCTATGACTTTATATAGGCCATTCATATTGCATTATTATTTTAATCCACCAATATAATGTATACATTTTTTTTCTATCAGGATTTTCTAGATTGTCTAGACCACAGTCATGATTTCCTGCTAGCATCAGAACTGATTCAAAGCACCCAAGCAGTTGTTCACATGTCTAGGACTTCTGGTGTTTTTATTATCTAAACTTCTTCTATAATGGAAGATATGAAAATTAAAGAATCAACAAATGTAGATGAAAAAGAAAGAGAAGAAACTACTGAAAACACCAGTGAAAATCAAGATTCGAATCAAATTCCCAAAATGCCACTTGGATTACCTCCGATTGATTTGCAGGAGTTAACAAATATGCTTCGTAGTCCTGATATGCCTGCACAGAAAATAATGAAGGAAGTGGCTGATCAGATTTTGAAAAGAAATGAAGAAAGTGAAAGTGAGGACGGTTCAGTGAACAATGGAGTTGTTGGAATGAAGGGAATATTTGATTGCATTTTAGAAGTTTCATTACTGCATGAAGATTCTGATAAATCAGACGAGTCGGAGGATGAGGATGATGAAACAATAAATCGTCAAATAACTTGTTCTTACTGCAACAAAATATTTGGCAGTAACATGTCATGGAAAACTCATGTGCTTGTGGCTCATCCTCAGCAAGATCAATCAGTTTTAAATGTTAAAAAGTTGCCAAATAATGAGGAAAATAAAGGAAGAAGTGACCAGCCTCACAGACGGGGATCAAGGAGCTCATCAAAAGCTGACCGTGAAGCAAAAGCTACCAAAGGGCACCACCATTCCAAGGATGAAGGAAATGCTACAGACATTCCTAAAGGGGAAGAAAATGCCCCAACCAGCAGAAGGCGTTCATCTGTAACAAAACTTCAGCAGAAGGTTTCTTCTCTACCAGAGAATAAAACTGTATCTGCCGAGCCTCAGTCTTGTGCTGGAACTGAGAGTACAAAGAGCAGCAGTACATCAGATACCGATTGTAACCAACCTGTTGATAGGGATCCTGCTGCTGAAGCATCATCTGTTCCAAATCAAAGTCCTGAGTCTGGCATTGTATCAACCACATCAAAACATAAGCTGTCAGATCCTGAGGAGTCTCTCACTTCTCCCAAGAAGAAACTAAGATCTACATCTTCTAAGAAACACCACACTTAAAAAAAGTATTCCTTATTATTGAAAGATTATAAATAATTAAACTAAAACACAACTTATAAAATAATTCATGTCAGAAATAGCTTGTGGGTATTTTTAAAAAAATGTCTTAATTATTATAACTGGATTACAAAAAGTATACAATTAATAGGCTAAAACAAAGTTTTTCTTAACTATTTAAAGCTGTTATTATTATAGGTTTAGATCACATTCTGTTAATGTAGAAAGTAGTAGATTATATCCCTTTAATTACCTATCTGGTATTTTAAAACATTTCAAAACGGAGTAAAAAAAAAAGGCTTATCCAAAACTGCATTCCATTTAGAGTAATTATCAATATCTAATGTATTAAGGTTGACACTGGCTAGGTTTTAAAATTTTCATGTAATCCAGAAAAACATCACTGTTTAATATTTGCCTTGATACCCCGGTGACACCTTGAAAGATAAGCTAGTTTTTCAATTTTAATTGTATTTTGGTGTAGCATAGTTTTAGTTAAAAATCTATTTATCATTTAAAAAGATCTTACAATACTAAAGAACATTTTTTTTGCTTAATTATATTTAAATTGAAAGAACAGTAAAAAAAATTGCTTTGGAATACTTGTTTCTAGAAATTCTTAAAATTAGTATAAAGGGTGGTAGTTAATTAGGAGTTAAAGTTTCTTTTAAAAACTTTTGGTTTCTATAACTTATAAAATTGAAAACATATCAGTTAATTGTGATATTGAGTTGTATCTTCAAGTGTATATAGTTTAATATGTACACAGTATTCATGTGCTCTAGCTTTGCATTTATGGCCTAATTATTTTCATCATTAGCCAAGCAGTAAACTATTCTTTTTAAGCTGTGTGATCTATGTACATGCTATGTGTAATATTGCAAAAATTTCAAAGCAAATATGTAACTTCTTTACTGTATTATTACATTGGTGAAAAGACAATCAGTAAGCTTTATTATATTGTAGTGCTTTTGTAAGATACAATGCATTTTCTGGAAGAAAAAAAATAGTAAAATGAACAAATGTTACCTTATTCTTAAAAAAAAAAAGCAAAGTGTGATGTTATGAACTAAACTGTGAACACTAAACAACTTTAATTAAAATTAAGCATTAATGTCCAATTTCTGTTTATAAAGGAATTTTTTTCTTACAATGTTATTTCTATTTGTTATAGAACCTTTTTTGTTTTGTTTTTAAATGGAATTTTAGAAGAGTTATGCTAATCAGTTATTTTAACAAAAAGAGGGGACAATCTAACTTATCTGTTTAAAAAACTGATTTAACACCCTTTGAAAGTTTGCTTCTCAAATATGAATATTTTTTGTATTTATGCTTTAAGCTTACAATACATATTTGCATTTAAATGTTAGTTTTGTTAAACATGTAATTTTTAAAATTACTTTTTGAAAATTGACAAATGTGTATCATTGATTTCCAGACCATTCATGTTAAATTTCACTACCTGTATACACTAAGGTCCTTGCACATCAGACATCCCAGTGATCAATCATAATCCAGATTTACTTTGTTGAGATTAGCATTTGATTGTAAGAGTTAATTTAAGAACATTCATGTACTTAAATGATGTAGTAGCAGTTGTTTTAATCATATTTATCAATCAATACATTATTGTTTGATAAAAGATATGTTTTCTATTTTAACACAGGCTGTAGCTTACCTATACTTCAGTTATATAGTCAGAACTTTCAGAAACATTTTTAAAAAAAATAAATCAAGACATGGTGACATAGAGATAAGTTTAAAAATAAATTGAGGTAGCTGTTGTAATGTGTAGAAATATCATCTGTGTTTTTAGAAAACTTAAGGTCAATGTTTGACAGGACCACACCCCTTGTCCCCCAGGTGGGGTGTGGTTAAAATTATATACTGTAAATAGATATGATATTTATTTTAATGCCATCCATGTTCATGGAATACCATTGTTCTAATTGGTTGACATTTTTTTTACACTGAATGATTGTCTATTTTTTGGGTATACATGAAAGCACACTTTTAATCATGTCAGCACGTTTTCCTCAAGTTGAAACCATTGATAAATTTGAAGATATTTACATTGTAAATTTCCTTTGTATTTTTTTTTGTCTTTTTAAAAATATAATGTAAACTGCTTGGTAAGGAAACCATAACACATTTTTAAAAAAATCATTCAGTTAAATAAATTTAAAAAAATAAATAATTAAATTAAAGCAGTTTTGAAATTTAAGAGCAAAATATATTTAAAATGATGTTTTAGCCAAATTTTAAAAATATTTTGCTCTTAAATTTCAAAATATTAACCTTATTTAGCTGGCGTACCTAATTTTAATTAAATCATTAGTTTTTTCTTTCAAGTTTTAAACAGCAAAAATATGTGAAACAGCAGTAAATGAATAGAACTAAAGACCTCATTTTATCAGAGCAGTCTAACTCTTTGGGCAATTTATTATCAAAACTTTTTGAACAAATTTTTTTCAATTATTACCACATAATTTGGATGCTTGTATGTTATTTCATTTGCACTTGAGAAAATGTCTGCTAACTATAATTGTATTTTTTTCATTTGCTGAATGTCATATTACCCAATGCAGATGAGCTATTGTTAAATTGAATATTTGTAAAATATCTGGTGTCACCTGGTGTTCTGTAGCATTGAGACCTATATTTGAGGGCCAGCTGTGACAAGCAGTAAAACACTAGAAGACTAGGCAAATCTAGTCCACAGCATGCCAGATATACAAAGGCAGGAAAGATCTATTTATTTCACACACGGGGAGTGTGTCCCATCAGTGGGGTGTCCATATGTACATATAAGCTTCAATGACAAGTACAGTAGATAACTTTACAAACCTCAGCATTGTTTGTCCATTACAACCCATGCAATCCTCCTGCTGTAGATACACACCAGATCATCTTGTCTTCATTGTCTGAAAGAAAGAAATGTGTGTCAGACAAGTTGGATCTCAGTTGGGTTTTATGAGCTGCTCAACAGGAATGAATAATTTGTCAAACGTTGGTGTCAACATTGTCTTTATATATGCAATTCCATGTTAAGCTATTCTATTTCATAAAGTATACCACCATTGATGAAATAATGGGAAAGTATTGTTGTAATTCCATTGCAAAGCCATGTGTATATTTACCATAGAAAGTTAACTAGAACTAGGGATTTTTGTTGTTAATGTTGCTACCTTTAAAATCCTTAATTAATTTTTTTATTACCTGAGGTGGTAGTGGTAGCTTTAAGGTTTTATGACGTTTAATTTATCCTATTTGAATTTTTAACATGGCTTCTCAGTCATTGCCTTAATTTTAACATGATTTCTCAGTTGTTTTCTTTTTCTAAATTTTAACATTGTTTCCCAGTTCTTTCCATGGTCAAAATTTTAACTTGGCTTCTTAATTCCTTTCTTAATCTAAATTTTAACATGGCTTCTCCTTTCCTTCCTTAATCTAAAATTTAACATGGCTTCTCCTTTCCTTCCTTAATCTAAATTTAAACATGGCCTCTCAGTTCTTTCCATGGTCTAAATTTTAAGATGGCTTCTCATTTCCTTCCTTAATCTAACCAGCTCTTTCCTTGTGCAACTTTTGGTGGGTGAACAAGCCTGCCACTTGCAGTTTGACTAAGTTTAAATTGAAACCAACTTTTTTTTTATACAGTCCTACTTTTCTTTACTTTTGACATGATCATTATCTTGTGCAATCTAGCAAATTATTTTTTCATTGATTGAAAAATCTTTATAGAGATTGTGCTTTTAATTTCTTACCTCATTCAATGAAAATTATTTCTTAATTTTGTTTGTTAAGGGGAAAACTAGTTTGTAGTTGGTTTAGTTGTTTAGAGAATACACAGGCAATCTAAAGAACTTTAAACAAGTGCTGATGAATGACCTGATTGAGCTAGAACTACTCCCCCCCCCAATATATTTTGTATTGATGAATGTGAGATGGCCAACGTATGAGCACAAACTAAAAGCTATTCCAACCTGCTGATGGTTTTCAATGTTTACAGTTTAAACGGGCTAGACGATTTTTTTTTTATATTGTCTCAACATGCAACTTGGCAGATATATTTTTTTTTACTATAATATAAATGGGAATTGCCTAATTAAAGGTATGCACTGTAGTAGAAAGACAGTCACCTCCCACCCTCCCCTCTGTTAGATGTACACATTGATGTTGACGCATATATTATTATACATTAAAAGACCAATTTATAATTAGTGTTCTGTTTTCTTCTGTGCAAACAATTTTGTTTTTATTTATTGGCTTGCTTGTATGTTTCACACAAATGCTGTATACTTTGGCCAGTCCAACCTCAATGAATTCACCATTCACAAGCTTCGTGTTACAGTAGAGTGTGTATTGTACTGCCAACCCCAACATTAAATAGTTGAAATTCCAATCAGATAAAAGTTTTAAAATAAAACTGTTCTGATGACATTTTATATTACCCCCCCCCCCCCCCATCACTCCTCCATATTGTTTTATAGAGATAGACCTGTAAGCCTGAATCCTTCTGAGTCCGACAATAGCAAAAAATACCAAGGACTATCGAGCATTGGCCCACTGTGTCTAGCATACAATAAAGTATTTGGCTGTTCAAATCGAGCCCGTCTTTCCGTTCTGATGTAATCAATGCATTTTTCTCACGGTTTACCTATTGCTAATTTACTTCAGGGTCGAAATAACGACACAGTTTACGGTTATGTTCATTTTATTAAAGCACGTGCTCATTGACACCCCGAATTCTACAGCCGCTGTCGACTGATCTCTAGATTCTACTGATAATAAAATGCTTGAGCGCTTTTAGTTTTACGGCGTGCTAGCCCTGCGCTCACACGTTTAGATGCTAGCCATATCTAGGTCAGTTGTTTATTCGAATATGTATCGATGGCAACGTGGCTCAAGTGTTTTTATACATTGTAACTAAGTAACAAGGTGCCTCCGTTGTTTGAAAAACAAAATTAACCATAAACAAAAGCATCTTTGTAACAGTCCGCCATCGTCTTCTTTGATGCTAGGCGTGTTCGATTAGTCTTGTGCAGGAATCAGCACATCGACTGCGCATGTCCGTGTCGTCTACGTCTGGAAGCAACTTAAAAGCAAATTGAATTTTAAAGTTAAGTGTATGAAAATTACGTCTCTTAAATTCACGAGGCGTGACATCAGCTCGTTTTAAAATTATACAAATATTTTAAGAAGTGAACTAAATAATAGCCTTAACTGCAGAAATTGGTAAACACCACAATGCAACGCACATGAGCTTTTCTCTCCCCCCCCCCCCCCCCGTTTCCTTTCATGTAACAAAAAAGGGCTGTAATTAAAGTGCAATATGATAAATGATAATGCCCCTTTGCCGGTTTGTTTATGACGTTACACCTCATAAAGCGCGGTGGTGCGTTTTAGCTACAGGATTATAATTTTTTTTATAAGGCTCATATTCCCATAGCTTTTTTAGCGCAATTTCCATTCTGGAGAATTGCGTTTATTAACTCGTCTTTTCTGGGAATGTATGAATGGATGGATGGATGGATGGATGGATGTGTGTCCGCAGCTTTAAGTCGTATCTCCTCCTCAACGGAGCAATATCGATGACTAGTTCCAAAAGTAATTATGTTAAGCAAGTTACGAGGATGAACATAGGCCATAAAAATTCCGGGTTTCTTTCATGGATTTCCCGGAAAAAGCCAAAAAACCTCGAAAAAAAGCAGTTTTTGGCCCATATCTCGGCAACCAGACCACTTAGCGACTTAAAACATTTACCAATCGATTCCTGCCATAACTTAGAACAATATTGCCGAAGAAAGTTTTTAAAAATATCCTTTCGTTCGGTCACAAAAATTTTTTTTAATTAATTAAAATTTGGACCGAATTAGTTGGCATTTTTTCCAACCACACCACACGCGTCATCACGTTCATTAGCTGCGCCATCACGCTCAATGGTGCGTCATCACGTTCAGTAGCTAGGCGCGCAATGGTTTTTAGTCATGTAACTCTATTGTAAATAAAACATGTATTTTAACCAATGGTTTTACTAACCCTGCTCATGATTTACGTTACGACAGAGCTATTTTTAGATAACATAAGGAAATTGCGCTAAAATTGTCACTAGACTTTTTAATTACCTTGTTTTATTATTTCACGTATGGATTTTTGTTAATCCGTTTCAAGTTGTAAGCCAGAGATAATAAAATCAACGGTGGGTGGATTTTGATAACTGGTCAATTAGAAGTCTGGTTTAGGGGTAAAGAAACGTCCCTTACAAATTATCATTTGCATTGGTTCTTGGAGTTGGTTGACAACCCGTTAAGAGCTGACCAGGTTGAATCGTAGCACTAAACAGCCTGACTTTGCTTTCGAGAACAAGTTTTCACTACTCTATGTATGAAAACTATACAAATCACCTATTGTATAAGGACGATGTTGATGGGATGTCAGTGAGGTACAGCCTGCATGTCAGTGACGTCACACTGCTGGCTGCCGACACGCAAACTTTCTGCTCTCAAATACCGCGCCCATTGGTATGCGGAGTTATTCCCCCACCGAAGGACGTCACTTGTTCTCTTTGACCCCGGCATGTGAAACTTGTTGCAAGTCTCTCATGAAAGGATGTGTTTTGTTATTGTTTAAAGTATTCCGGGCACAAGTTCAAGGTCAGGTCATCTGACTGGCCTGGTTCGAATTAAAGTACAATTTACCTGTGGCAGTATCTACCGTACGTAAGCAAGTACATCAAAAGCACTAGGCTTAAGGAAAAGCTGCTTAGGATTAATAACGAAAAGTAATTAACACACGGAATGCTTAGATTATCCGCTGCAGACCGTTGATTGGATATACCAAAGTCACGTGACCAGCTCAGGTAAAGAGTGCAACTGTTGATTACCTCATTGCTTAGGTGGATCCAAGAGGCGATCCATTCCGGGGCAAACTATCAATTGTGTGCCTCTCACATTTATATTATATTTATTTTAATTCATGTTAGTGAAAAAGTGCCCTCCCCCCAGTCCCGGATTTTTTCCCTGGAATATATGGAGGCTGTGTGCAATAAATTCCAGCCCAGGCCTCGTCTTACAAATATAGACTGTATCCACCTTCTTACTGCTCGGCTTGCTTTCATTATGAGTTTTCGAGGTTGTTTTGAATTTAGTAATTACGTTCCAGGCATCACTTGATGTTCGTCTAACAAGAAAATTTCAGCAAATCTTTGTGTTCACACCTTGGCTTTGAATAAAAAAAACTCGACGTCACACATCGCTGATGACGGCCTTCAGCAGTAAAAAAAACAACCTTCTCCATCTGGGCTGTTATTAACAAGGCTACGGTACAGTCTGTTGCACTGTTATGTAATGGGGAGATGAAATGAAGCAAACATCAAAAGCGATCTTTATCGCACATTTTATAACACCACTCTAGATGGCCGGAGTTTTATCACTACTTGAAACTATCACACGAGCTATTTAAATTAGTGTTGTAACCTTGGGTCTATTTCAGGGCACACTGTACTAGTGAGGTGCACTTTATTGACATACTGCACACAGTGTTTGATGGAATAGTGCTCTAGTTTACACCAGTTTCAAGTATGATTTAAACTATGAACTTGTATTCATTCAACCAGTTTAAAGTATATTTTTAAACTATGAGCATGTATTCACCAGTTCAATGAGTCCATGGACCGAATGTATAGTCAAGTATTTAATTAGCTGGAAGAGAGTTGTCACCTTTCGAACAAATATTAATATACAGAAACAGACATAACACACACACGCGCACTCACACAAATATACGGCCTATATGTATAAATGTAAATATATGTATGCATGTGCGTATGTATGGATATACTACTCGCTGTCGTTACACATCAGCACAAAAAGGACAGAGATCCCCTCCCTATTGTATCACCAAGTTTCCTCTACTCCAAACACAACTATTCTACCAAAGGTAGTATAGATCGTGTGCTAGGTCATATTTCTCAACCCCTCTCCCGTCATTACTGGAGTTCGAACCCTCTCGTTTAAAAGCGATCACTGTGTCCCAGGCTATTGCCAATATTACACCATGTTAACAACGGTTACAGCGTGGTTAGGTCTCAGGCTATTGCCAATATTACATCATGTTAACAACGGTTACAGCGTGGTTAGGTCTCAGACTATTGCCAATATTACACCATGTTAACAACGGTTACAGCGTGGTTAGGTCTCAGGCTATTGCCAATATTACACCATGTTAACAACGGTTACAGCGTGGTTAGGTCTCAGGCTATTGCCAATATTACACCATGTTAACAACGGTTACAGCTAGGTCAGGTCTCATGCTATTGCCAATATTACACCATGTTAACAACGGTTACAGCGTGGTAACCCACGTGACGACATGGTTGTTATAATGACTCTTCTAGCGTCTTTCAGTGGCATGATTGGGTTGATGACACTTCTAGCGTCTTTCAATGGCTATGTGATGACGCAAGATTACGTCAGACATGTTTAGCAGATATAGGTTAGCAGAAACAGACTATAGGCCTAGTTGGTTGGTTAGAGAGGCCAATGGGCGCACAGGGCTGACCGGTCACGTGGGACGGTCAGCTGACCACTGAGGCGTGGGGCAGTAGAGCGATAGGCCAGGAGTTGTTAGGTAGCGGTCAGAGACGGCCGAGAATGTAGATAGTGAGGGATCATGATTAGCTAGCGAAGGTAGAAGGTGTTAGGTTGTAGAATGTAGATAGTGTTAGGATTGGTCATGGGAGTGCGTAGTAGTAGGTAGCATGTGGAATGAACAGTCAGATAGAAGTAATACAGTGTAGATCAGTTAGGTAGAAAATTGATTATATACATTTGAATAAAGAACTTTGTATTTGGAACTTGAACTGTGTGGTTATTGGATTCATTCGTTTCGCATCTTAAAAATCGCCACCCTCACAATTGGTGGAGCAGCGGGTCGAGTAAGGGAAAGAACGTATATCAGTTATTCATGACGGAGTATGACTGGTGTATTGCTTTCTCTAACTCTTCACAACAGCGGGCCTCTTCAGCCGGAACGAATTTTGAATAACAACACAAGGGAACTGTCAACATATTCAAAAAGATAAGTACCTTCCAACATTTTTTTAAACGTTTGGGTTTATACCCGTGCTGGATAGTTTGTGCCAGCGGTTTTTCTGCCTTACACATTCTATTGTTACGCACTGTTGCCTTAGTTATTTTGACTTTCCTCAACACACACA